TCTCATTATCTCTCCACATTTTATCGACAAAGATTGACAGAATGCTGAAAAAAGGTCGCGACTCTCTGACCGACGGTTTAAGCCCCCGGGGGGAGTACTCCTTTATATAAGCCATATAGGTATGTTCGGCCCCAAAGGGTATGGTTTTAGCGCCGTTTCGGTAACGGGTATGGAGTTTGCACATTTTGCTCTGGAATTAGGTATGGTTTTGTCGAGGGAACTACGGGAGTGTAGTAACGTACTTGTCGTTTCAATTCCAGATGAATAAGAAAGAAAAAGTAAGATACGAATTCGAAATGGATTTTAAGAAATCTTTTCGTTGGCGTTCTAATCAAAGTAAGTAGAGGCCAGGTCTGAAAATGGGTGTCGAAAATGGCATTTTAGTCGGGTCAGGATTTGGAGAATCGGGCGGCTCACCCATACCAAGAGTTCCCAGGAGTACTCCCCGGCTTTTAAACTGTACGGGATGGATCATAAATATTTCTAAGACGCTGTTGCAGTAACTGTAAGAAAACATTCATCTCGTCGCTCTCTTGTGCTACTTCTTCGACAAGTTTTACACAATCATTCAGGGCACGTGGATAGATTCTTCCCTCAGGGTTTTTCTTGTGATAGAGGACTTTTGCCACTTCTCTCAAAGCCCAAACACTTGCATCTTGAACTTCTTTCCTAACTGAATTTACTTTTTGCTCACCACCCAAAACCTTGTTTTCCAGCAGCTCGACTCGTCTCTCGGCCACTTTTTTTCCATCTTCGGGTGCAACCAGCGCATACTTTTCGTGGCGTCGCAGTTCAGCTATTGAGATATGCTTAGCGATTTCAACACACTGCTTACACAGTTCCTCCATCCTAAAATCGTTGGCTAAAACCAGGAAGTCAATGGCTTGATGCGGGGTTTTCTCTCTCTGTAGCAGGTATCTTTCGCAGCGTTCTGTTAGCTGTTCCATCTGGTATTCCCTCGCCAAGACGAGTAGAAAATGGAAGTTCGCTTCGTTAATTGACTTAGAAGTTGGATATACAACTAGCAACATCTCCCTTATTTCAGAAGCTTTTTTGCCAGGAAGTGGTATTTCACTGGAGGACTTTTCTCTGAATTCTGAGCTGAACATTTTTTCAAACACGGGTGACCACATGGACAATGTGCCCTTATGAACATGGAATCTTTTTTCTTCGACAACAAGAACAACATCGCTAAGATGCCAGGGCTCAGAAAAATCTGGTTCTGATCCTCTTGTCTGCATGATCTTGTCCTGCAAATAGATGAAAACGGATAATTAACAATTATTGGACAAGGTTAAGCAAAATATCATGATTTGTCCACGGCGAGCAGATAACTTATTTGCCAAAGCCGGAAGCTAAGGCAAAATAAATATTTGATCTGCGAGACACTGACAAATCACTATATCTTGCGGTAACCGAGTTCACTAATTGTTCTATCATTCGATCACCAAGTTTGTTTTTTAATGAATATCTTCGGAAAGCGAAGCGATCTGCTATTTTTCACGCAAGAGCGATCGCAAGAAGGAGAAAAGCGGGGTTTCGTTTAGGCATGAGCAGAACATTATTTGCAGCCAAACATAGTTGGACAATATTGCGCATGAACAGACCATTATTTGTAGGCAGTTATTTGCAGGCACGTGGTGGGCTCTCGGCCAATGAAAAGGAAGAAAAGGTCTATCAAGGGTGGTTCCTCGTTTCGTTGATGCATAATTGCGTCCAGTACTTAACCCTTTCACTCCCAGAAAAAGCAAAAGACTAAATTAGACAAAATCAAAATAATATTTCAGTTTGTAAAATGTGGCAAAACAAATAGCACCTTGTGAAAGTACTGCTAAATGCTGCTTGAATGGACACATCACAGGATTTCGTCTACAGACTCAAAAGTCAGAACTACACACTAAATAAATAGTACAGTACCACAGGAAATGCTGCTGAAGGTGTCATTTGAATGGTCACACCATAAGATTTCATCCAGATAAAAAAATTAGAAACCCCATGTAAGACTATAATTATAATTATAATTATAATTATAATTATAATTATTATAATTATTATTATTATTATCATTATTGTTATTATTATTATTTCTTTTCACTGGCAGAGAGCTCACCACGTGACTTGCAAATGACTGTCTACAAATAATGGTCTGCTCATGTACCATGTCATGCATTGTGTTTGGCTGTAAATAATATTCTGCTCATGCGTAACTGAAACCATATTTTTCTCCTTCATGCGATCACTTTTGTGTAAAAATAGCAAAATGGCAGATATTCGTTAACAAACAAACTCGGTGACCGAATTATAAAACAATTATTAGAATTAAGGTTGAGCAAAATATTGTGATTTGTCAGTGTCTCGCAGATCAATTATTGATCTGCTCGAAACTGGCAAATCACAATATTTTGCTCAACCTTGTCCGATAATTGTTAATTATTATTACTATTATTATTATTATCATTGTTATTGCAGTCAACTCCCTTTATTGCAGACACTGCAGGGACCTTGAATTTATGTCCTCATTAGCTAGAGTCCATTACAGAAGGGTGTCCGCAAAAGTGAGAGTTGACTATAATAATTATTATATTGCTTTCACCATAATTTAAAGAACAGAAACCCAACTAATTGATACTCATAAATTCCAAAAAGAGAAAACAGCAGTTATATGTTATTGACAAGATAACAACAATAAATAGTAAATACAGTTTGTAGCAAAGAGCAAATTATTTTCATCCCTAGGCCTCAGAGACACAGGTCTCAGCATGCAAAAAAAGGTGTGTCTGACAGCCCAGGGATAGTGGATTTTGTGATTGGGCTAGTGAATTCTCCTCTTAACTTGTCCGACAGGCAAATGAAGTTTTCTGTGGGAATTCAAATCACAGAAGACAGTACTGTAAGACAAATTGTTTAAATTCATAATACCGGTAAACTCATCTGGATCCAAGGTTATGCTCTAAGAAAATCCAAGGTAATCAGCATATGATTTCTATGAAAAAACTAAGATTTTCTGGTCGCCAGGGAGCAAAAGTTAGGCGGCAGGGGCCACCAGGCTCTGCCAGAGAACACCCTTAGGGATTGAAATCTGTTTTTCAAGCTGATCTTAAAAAGTGAAATTATTACATTTATTAATATTGCAATAAATATATTATTAGAGCCAGTTATTAATTAACTAATAAACGGGTGCTAATACAGCTGCCTCTTATCGCTCACCATTGCTGGGACATTTTGTGAGCGACATCTCCATTCCATACTGATGATCATGCAATGTAAATCAATGTTTAGAAATTTTTTATTACATCTAACAGTCACGTGATTTCTGAGGTAAATTTGTTTGGGTTTTTGCTTCTTGTGAATTATTGTAAAAGTTTTGAGTTTTCCAGCAAATTTGATGACAGCAAAAGTAAAACATCCTTTATAGTAAAGCAAATAAAGTCCCAGGAAATGAGTGTTTTTCGGTAAAAAATTATTAAGCACCTTTTGATCTTTGTGACCCTATGTCTTTTGTCTGTAACTTCTAAACATTTTGTCAACAAATCAGAGCTGCTGACCAGATTCCGGAGAGATTTATGCCATCAGTGTGGCATTTTTGAGGACAAAATGCAGAAATCTGTCTTGTAAAATGTCCAAGTGGCAGTGAAGCCACTGTTCACAGTTGGCACATCATTTTGTACACAAAGGCCACAGGAAAAACACAGGAAAAACGTTTCTATTGCTCTTATAAAATAACTTTCCTGAGAAAAAATTAAACCCTTGGTTTATGGCACTGACTAAAAGAAAATTCTTACCAGTCATGAAGTGCTGTACCTATAATTATTTCGTGTTTGGCAAAGAAAAGACACTTTCTAAAGTATGGATTTTTCTAGCTTAAAATGTCAGCTTAAGTTTGCAAAGATTTTCCGAGTTTCATTTAGGAACTTATTGAGTTTTCAACTCAAAACCTTTTTCAAACTTGTGCTTGCCACGTGATTAGCGTGTGCTCAGCAAAACATCTTGATGTCACAGCCACATTTACATACTCTCAAGCAAACATGCCTCTCAGCCAATCAGAGCATGCGTACTATCTTAGTTATCTAGTAAGTGATATCATTATAATAAGGGGAAATGAAGTAGTCCTGGACCAATCACAGCATGCAACTTAATAATTATAATCAATTATTATTATTGAGTAATGTACTATTTAAACAATAATATTATTTTAATAGTAGTTATAAGTCCACTCTAGTTAACTGTTATGAGCTATCTTACATAAATCAATGTACTGCACTTGTGGGAATTCAAAACACAATACTGCAGGTCAGGAATGAGTTAATCATGATTTTTTCATGTATTTACTAGATGCTTGAGATAACAAATGACAGAACAAAAAAAATTTTTCTTTGTTGGTTACTGCCAAATTCATTGTATTGAGCGACACGTTTTGCAAACTTCTAAGGGATTTTGTTTTTTTTTTTGTTTCTTGGAAGTTTGCAAAACGCACAGCGCGATACAGTGAATTTGGCAGTAATAGAGAGTTTTAGATCCGAGTTTACTGCAAACCTCTAACTGCGATTTGCGGCCGCCATTTTAAATCAGCAGCCATGAATGGCACTTGTTTTCAAGATCCAATGGGATTTATAAAATTTAGCATTTCGCCCGAATTTGTGCCTCTGTTAATGCATATAGACTTGCTCCACAAGATTTTTGTATCATTACATGGGATGAAACAAGAATTATAGGCTAAAAGCTTTCAGGTAAATGACATATGTAAAAACCTACCACCCCAAGTTGAAAACACACGTCGTAAACCTCAAACGTGACACAAAAGACTTGTCACGTGACCTCCAGGGGTTAGAGGTTTGCGGTAAACTCAGATCTAAAACTCTCTAATAATTATTAACAACTTCCAGCTCAGCCTCTATTCAGGGAAGACAACTGTTGAGGCCCTCAAAAGGATAGAAGCAACAGGTGACATATGACACTGAAAACTAGTGACAATCTTCTCAGAAAGCATCAATAATCAACTGAAAAGGAGGAGGAAAGAATTGTGGCAGCAACAATCCTTTTTTTAAGTACTGAAAGTAGCATCTGCTCACTTTTGTATTTTGGTTGTTCCGGTGACGAAACAACACACTCACTTCTGTTATTTCCAAACATGAGTAAACCAACTGATACAATGCAACCTTCACACATTTTGTTTCAAAATCGCTAAAACCGATCACTTTATTTAACAACAACGATCAAAAGCGACAATCACAAGAAGTCAACCGATTAATTTTTATCTTTTTTTTATTTGACTCGATAAATTATCATCGATTTTGATTGATTGCAATCGATTTCAGCTTCTATCGAGAACCAAAAAAATGTCTACATCGACATATAGCTGTCACTATTTCAGACTAGCCTAGTAACAACGTACAACAAACCAATACTGTTTGAACAAATAGCTACGTCCTTGTGTTAGGGACAATAGTTTATCGAAATACTCCAGTGAATAAAATGTGTATAAAAGAGTGCCAATGATCAAACCCTGATCGATCCTCCGACTCGGGGCCGGGCTGACTTTAAATAAGAAAGGGTAAACAAGCGAAATAAGAAGGGACCAATGAATGTGAATGAACTACAGTTCTATCCATTTGTAAACACTTACCCTTCAATACAGCAGACCTTTAGTTCGATAGAAAACTGGAAAAATACCGGAAGTTAGTCAAAGCTGCTACAGGAGTTGTCGCGTCGTTGTTGAGTGAAGTTGTGTTTACTGAGCCTTCATTACTGTTAACCGGTCAGTTTTTGCCAGCGTTAAGGGAAGGTACTTCATATATGATATTTTATTATGTATGTGCCTACATCACACCCTCATTTTTCTTTTCAAAGTCCGTCGAGCGCGCGTGATAAAATATAAACCGCAGGGGATTTATTGACCGATGTCTCCGAAAAGAACGAAAAGAAAAATAAAACAAGGTCTGTGTACAGGCTAGCCTACATGATTTATTCCCTTTCAGATTCCTGATTCCCTTTGTAATACAATTCTTATAAATGGCCAAAAACACGTGGACAAAGAAGCGGCGAGCGACACACTCTCCACATGGTTGAGTTTCGGATTTGGATTTCCGTAATATACCAGGAATAATTCCGATAGCTCTGAAAAGCCACAGAGATGCGTTCCGTATGATAGTGGGCATTGTAACAATCTCTCCTTTACCGAGTTTTTACCATGTACCCATCGACAGGTTACCGTTCGCCCTTCAATCTCCCAACATTCAGTATTTACGTGTCTTGATAATTGGTCATTGGTCATTGAATTTAGAAAAAAAGTCACTACTCAAGGGGGAAGGGTAGAGGGGCCAGTTGACATTTAATTTAAAGTATAACAAAAACAAAAACAAATTAAGCTAAGTTAGAAAAAACTAGCACATATCATTTTGGTCCTTTTCGTTTCGACTCGCTCAGAAGCAGGTTTTCTTATCACTTAGCTTTTTACAGTACGCTCGTCATTCACGGTTCGAACCTTCCGTGGTATAGGAGGTGTTTTTATGCATTTTTTTCTGTCAAGTCATACTTAGCGACTCATATCATCCGTTTTCGTAAAACACTATCCGTCTGAAAACTGTTATCAGGTAGATAATGATCTGCAAACGAAAAATACTCCATTTATGCTATTATTAGAGAACGATCATGATCTGTCCCATTGGGTCTCACCAAGAGAGCTGGAACAAAACTCTGAGTCCTGTGCGAGTAATATCCAGCGTCACGTTTTGTCATCACATCCATCGACACCTCACCACATCAATATCGTCCATAATAAACTCAGAAAAATCTAAGTCGATGGATATTAAACACGCAAAGATCAAGAAGGATGCCTGCCGGTTTCAAGTCATTTTAGTGATCCGGGTATATTGTATGAAAAAACCTCTTCAGTAGCTAATTTCTTTTATCTTTTTTTTAATGGTCTAGCTGTTTTGTTTTACGTTGGAATAAATTTGTAGAAACAGTAGATCATCAACAGCATTAGTTTTTCATTTTGTTTAAAGGAATTGTAATTGTCTCCTTGGAACGCAGGTGGTGGGAAAAAAATGTAAACAGTTATCCCATAAAGCCCCCTAAAAAATAAAGTAACGTCCAACTGCTCTTGATAAAACAAATATAAAATTAACATCTTTTATGATTATGATGAAAGCGTTATATATGACTTCGTTTTTCGCTGGTATATTACTAGATCGAGCCATACCTTTATTTCGTTGTCGTTTCCATGGTTACAGGTACCTGTCTTCCCCAGTAAAGTGCGGTCTATATACTAATGCATCGACGTCAATCAAACCGAAAACCATAGCAAATATACAAAGCAAACTGCTAAAACGACCTGTCGATACCCCTACCTATGCAGATCTCGGGGCATAAAAGACGAAACCCCTGTCTAAAGTTGGAGGTTGATTTTACTTAATCTTCGAATCTTCAAATGATTAAAGCGAAGGGATAATGCCGTCTTCAACAAGACTCAATGCTTCATAATTTTTCTACTATAGCTGATGCTCAAGTTTTCCGGTAGGATTTTATGTTGCGTGTTCCTATTATTTAGCGTTCTATTGTGCCGTTTGTATAAATTTAGCTAGTGTATTGGAAGCAGGAAAACTGAGTGATCTGAGCCAATAGAACTGTAAACCATGCGGTCAGTAACGTAAATACGTGTATTTTTTAGCTGGTACCGAAATAATTTGAAGATTCAATCGTGAGAAAACACGCATTTTAATTTTTACCCAACTGAACCTAACGTAGAAAATAGAGCGTTCGCCAGACAGACAGGAGATTTATTAATTATCGCAGGCGGGTCTACTTTATAAAAATGAAAAATAAAAAGGCTTGAATTCAATCACAGTTAAATGTGAAATTGACCATTTAAATAGGAAAGATTCTTTTCTGGTTTCAGAATAACTTTAATATTTTGTATTTGCATTTCGAGATAAGGAAATCACTTCGCTTCCTAATTGTTTCGTCTTCCTTTTCAACTGCCGAGATGAATTACATTTGGCTTCCTCTTATGAATGATCTTGCTATTCGCACATTAAACTTCTTTCTAGGCTGGAAATTCAACATTAATTTGCTATCCGTCTATTTTTGCGAAGTAGTTCTAGTGATAATAGCCTACCAGCCATGCATTTTAATTTAAATTCGTGGTTTATCTTCTCAAAAACACCCACGACACGAAAATTAAGGCTAGTTTTTCTTGCTTTATTTTTTAATGATGGCTTGAAACAAAACGGCGAAAATTCTTATTATGCAAATTCTGTTCCTTAGCTCGTATCTATCATCACACTTGATTTTATTTACTCTGAGTTTCAACGATCTTTCTCGATGCTTCTTAAATTCAACTGAAAGTCAGAATCTGAAAGGCTTCAGTCCTCAAAACGTTTTGACAAGCGAAATATGTGCATGTCAAACTGCTGACTCAAACTCGAATAGAATAAACGGCGCTGAGTTATTTGCCAGCCATTCACCTTGCATGAATAAAAATAATACGAAATTTACGTCAAATAGAACGGAATTTCATCCTTACGAAATTGATTTTGTTTTTTTAATGTTACAAAATATGTATTAATAGTGATGACCTCATTTATTATGGCATCGAAACAAGAGAATTTTATAGTTATGCATGACCCGTTTACGAAGCAAACTGCAACAACGACGACTATTAGAAAACGATTTTTCCCTCTGTATTTTCTGAGTGATGTTTAGCCACAAACCGCTTACGGTGCTTTGATATTTATTCGCATAAATTTCGTGCAAAGCAGATTTGGATTAAAACTTTTTCAAAAACTCGTAACAACACGTTTTTCTGTGGCTGAGCATTTTGATAATTTCCTTCTACATTGAACAAAATTCAAGAGACTATTTATCGACTTGGGTCTGTTTACGTTGCGGCGGGCGAAGCAGACAGACGAGAAGACATCCTTTACCGTTTCAATAACTTTTGAGACAGGTGGGAAAAGAAATAATCTATATTGCAGTCACTTAGAACTTGAGGCTTCGCACTAGTTTATGGTAACTAAATTGGACTGCCTGAGTCATTACATAAGTTATTGAGATGACTTCCATTGAACCCGTTTACATGTACTTCTCACAAGAAGTTCGCAAAACCATTCATGAACTACAATGGCATCTGATACAGAGGCCATGAGGTATTTGAATCCTACATAAATTAGCTTGGGCAAGTATTGTTCATCCAAGCAAGGGGTACAGACTTAACGGTTCGAAAGCAATTCACCTTGGTTAATATGTATAATTGTTAGTTCCGTAAAACAAATAACTTTAATTTTAAACCATCAGGCATTAGAGTAGTAATGAGGTAAAACTTTTCTGGCAAATTCTTAAGCCGAGTACCATTGATTGTGCTGTTTATTATTGTCTTTCAGATAAGGCTCATTCAAGTTTAAAATCCTTAAAGATATAATTGGACAGCGAGTTCTCTTTGTGTCAGAACGTTGTCGAGCGAACGCTTTCAACTTCAAGTGAAACCGAAAGACAGTCAAATTATTGATGTTCATGAATCGCTGTCTAAACGAAACTACCTGTCAACTGCGAAAAAAATACAGATAAGAGTTAATCATCAAACTTTATCGGCACCTCCTGGAATATCTAAAGCTGGACACAGATTGTTACACAGTTTGTGCATCTCCGGCATGGTACGGAAAAAGACAATTTCCGTATATTACATTACGCAGTCCTGCTTAAAAGGACTTGGTGAATTATTTGCGGCAAATAAGTATTCCTTACTTTCATCATCTGGTTTAAGAATTTCTTTGACGTTTCTTGAGGTCTTCTTGTGGATAATAAAGAATTTTTCCTATTTGACGAGTTTTTGGATTATGTCTTTATTGGCTTCTTCAAGATGGACGGTGTGTTCAAAAGGGAGGCGAAACTACAGCAAGTGTCATTCAATTTACAGTAAACATTTTCTCTCCCTTTTCTCAACTTTTGAAAATGCTTGGACAACTCTATTTGTTTTATTGACTTTATTCGATTCAGGGAACTCTTCGTCAGTTATTTCAACTGGGACGATAATTAACACTCCATTGATTTCCCAGTCAGGTTCTTTGATACCTTCTTCATTATCAACTGACACAAATTCGCACATTATCGGTAATTTCAGCGTAATAACACAAAACATTTTCCCTCAGGAGTCGAACAACACAATAGGTTTACGTTCCGTTGCCTCTGTAGGAAGCACAGAGTTTTCTACAACTGAAGAACGCCCAACGATGACATCATCCGAAAGCGTTTGGGAATCCACGACAATGGAAACCATCTCTTTAAAAACTTTTAATAGTTCACCCTCGAAAACACTGATTAGTCATGATCAGACAATTAATGTGCCATCTCATTCAAGTCCAACGCGTCTATTAGCTACAGAAGTTGAAACGCGTTCAAAGGATTCAATATCAATGGCACCAATTACATCTAAGATACCTACAACAGAGAGATCTCCGTTGTCAGAAACATCAGACGTTTCGGTCTCCAAGATTGGTTCAACATTTATGACAAGTCACACGAAAGCAAGCAGTGTTACAACATCGACCAGCAATCCTCCACCTGGCCTATTGCCCATTACTGGATTAAGAAACTCTGTTGCTAGTCTCTGGACGGCATCAACAAAAACACTTTTATCCACCGATTATCAGAGCAATAGCACGACAGTAAGTTCTTCGGTAAGATCAACAGTATCGAGGTTAAAGGAATTGTCTCCTTCGTTAAAATATTCGTCACCATATTCACCTACACACTTGGTATCAGCATCAACATCAGGTGTATCACCGATTTTGGAGTCCTTACTACCCTCCTTTCAAACTCCAGTTACCAGCATCCCAACAGAAGTCCCGGTTGTGTCTAGTTCAGAATCGTTAGTTTCATCATCGTTGTATTCAATTTTAATATCAAAATCAACGCACGAATTAACGTTAACACCATCTGTAGAACTACTTACATTGCCATCACAATCAACATTTTTACCTCCTTCATCACTTCCGCCGCAATCACCATCGTCGTCTGCACCGACGTTATCACAATCTTCATCACTGCCAACAACAACCTCACCATCTTCGTCTTCAGTGAGGTCCAACATATCACCATCGTCATCAACAAGTCGGACGCATTTCAACGCATCATCTCTGTCACCGTGGGCAGCAACGCAACAGGCAGTGTCATCAGTGTCATTCTTGACGCTTCCAATGTCAACAACAACGTCTACGCAGGAATCCTCCTCAACACCATCAGTGGATTTACTTACATCTCAATCAACCTTGTCGCCTTCCTCACTTCCACCCCAGTCACCATCGCTCACACCATCATCGTCAAGACCGAAATTATCACAATCCCCATCACTGCCAACAACGATATCAACATTAACTTCAACACCACTATCTTATTCACTTATACCAACATCACCACTAAAAACATCACGATCATCCTCAGCTTCTTTGTCATCTCCATCACTATCTTTATTACTATCGCCTCTGCCATCGTCAACAGTATTGCCACCAGTATCATCACCATCGTTGTTACACTTACCGTTATCATCATCATCACCATTGTCATCATCGTTGGTAGTTTCATTGTCGAGGATGTCATCGCCAGCAGTGTCACCAACAACATTGCCATCTATATCATCTCCATCGTCATTACACTCACAATCAGTGCCACAATCAGCGTCATCGTCATCACCATCATCATCATCATCAATGTTGATATTTTTGTCATCATCGCCATCTTCAGAGTTATCTTTACTGTTAGCTTCATTATCATCATCATCAGCAGCAGCTCTAACATCAGCGTCTTCGACTTCATCAATAAAAAGAACATCGTTACCATGGCCATTACATTCAGCATCAAATCCATCATCATCGCTGACACCATCTCCAGGGCCATTATCGCCACCAAACGTAGCACCGTCAACAACGCTAGAGTCATCTTCTTCATCACTACAACCATCATTGCCACTGCAATCACAACCATTACCATCATCATCACTTTTCTCATTGCCAGCACCGTCCATTCCTTTCCTGACTCTATCATCCCCTCTGAAAACGGCCCAACCTTCTTTTCCATCGGTATCGTTGCCTGAAACTACCATGACGTCCATAAATTTGTCACTAACGCAAATTTCATCATCGTTTATTTCGTGGAGCAACTATTTGCTGCAAAAATCATCTTTGGTTAATAATTCAACAACTTATAATGTAACGTCCCAGAAAACAAGCAACGTTATTGCCGCTGTCGCTTCTAGCGGAATCTTTGGAGAAACTCCAACGAGTTTTATGTCGTCGTCGATAGCACTTGTCACATCAACGACAAGTCCACCTGACGAACCACGGATACTCAATCTAAGATTTTCGCTAATTAACGAAACCTTTCACGGGGATTTGAATAACGCAAGTTCCGCGAAGTTTGTGACCTTGTCCGCGAGAGTGAACTTTACGGTACTATTTTTTATTGTAACTGTTTACTTTGCTTTAGCTTGCATGCGTGACAGGTGTTTAAAGAACCTTGGAAATGGGAATTTGGAAGTGCGGATTCCCCCTTTCCCATCTTCTTTTAACGTCTTCCACGCAGGCTAACTTTGCCATGATAGGTGCTTTCAAAAAAAAAAAAAATCCTCTACCTTCTCTGCTTTCTTTAGATTTGCAGTCAAACAGTGTAAAGACTAAATTTAGAAAAAAACATTGTTTATCATAAATGACTAACCATTTTTATCAAAGTTCGGTACAGAATAATAGCTCACATCTCCAAATTACATAAGAAAATTACTGATAAGCCACATGGAAATTAATAAAGGTTTTCCGATAAATATCAAGGTTATTCACTCTTCGTTAATTATATATTTATTTTTCGTTTATTCATTGATTTTTGAAGCCTTGATCTATCTATTTGTATATAATATTAACGGAGTTTTTTTTCCCTATCTCCATAGCTATGGGAATTGTTAAACCCATTCAAGATAGGCCTGGTGGATGTAAGAATACTGCAGTTTAGGTTTGTATACAGCTACAAGTTTTGAGAACAAGAATATTTTTTCCATAGGGCCATCAACCAAAATTCAAGATAGATACCCAATTATTGCGCAAAACTGAAACAAAGAAAGGTAACCGTGAAACAACATTGCCAAGGCGTCTCATAACAGAACTGTTTTAGATTTAGAATTGCTAACTTCGTTTAATTGTTGATTAGAAACAGGAAATCGAGGGTCATTACACGTTTCTGGGAAACTGCCCTCCTACCCCTCCCCTGAACCGGCATTTTGCCCTAAGTGAAAAGTAAGTGTTAAGGTTGGCTTAGGGGAGGGGTAGGTGGGCAGTTTCCCAGAAACGTCCGCGATGTATAATGATCCATCGAAATGGCCCCACGTAGGGTAATACGAATTCCAGAATCTGGGAATTTTTTGCTTGAGAATTTGGAACCAGGAATTCTTGGCTTTGGAATCCGGAATTCAGCTCAAGGAATCCGGAATCCCACTACCGATCTGAGACCGGGGTCCAAGTTTCGCTAAAAGGAAATCCGGAATCCAATATAACTGAAATCCAGAATCCAAGACTGTCTTGGATTACCTTAAATGGGAGAAAAAAAAGTAACAAGGGCCTTTGTTTTCTTTTTCAAGCAATGGAAGCGTTAAAGTGGATTCTGAGTTGGTGATTAGCAGCGCCTCCAACGTTACTGCGCAAGATGTCAATCAAAGTCTGTGGACAGGCAATGGCTCTAACAGTGAAGGATTCATTTTTGGCCACATAATGGTCAAGGGTAAGATGTGTTTATTGATTTTATTGCAATGTACTGCTGTGATTACCACGTTATTTCGTGTTCCAGCTTCATCAGTAATATAGAAATTTGGTGCTAGTACTATCCCTAGCAGTAATGACAACTTTGTCTGCTANACAGTGAAGGATTCATTTTTGGCCACATAATGGTCAAGGGTAAGATGTGTTTATTGATTTTATTGCAATGTACTGCTGTGATTACCACGTTATTTCGTGTTCCAGCTTCATCAGTAATATAGAAATTTGGTGCTAGTACTATCCCTAGCAGTAATGACAACTTTGTCTGCTAATGTCAATGGTTCTCCCTAGCTGGCATGAAAGAGACCAGTTTGTTTCCACCTGGACAAATTTCATTATCAGAGTCTTTCTACATATCGTGTACTCCACTGCTTATATTGTCCTTACAAATGATTCTATTTGTGAATCGTTCTAATGAAGCTAATCACTCAACAGTTAAACATAACAGATAGCCCCGTTTGGATGTTTAGTTTATTCTTTCTTGCCTATCTAAGACCAGTACGCAATGCCGAAGTTTTGCGTAAGTAGGAACTGTAGAGGGCACAGACTTGTCCCCCTGCCTCCAGTCTCCCCAGCCGTACAAACTGGTCTGTAAAATTTGGCGACCTCTCGGAGCTGCATCTTTGTCAGTTTTCAACAAATCAACTCAAACTTGGTAACTTAGCTAAATTCAAGTCGCTCTTTTCAGTGGTGTCGACGGATTTCTCCCTACCTGGTTCATTTCAAAAATTGAAAAAGACTGCTATTGCAGTCTGAAGTTGTTTTTTGTTCATGCAATACGACAACGTTCTTGCATTTTAGAGACGTGTACCTCCGGATACTGCAGAAATTCAGGTAGTTGTCAGGAGGGAACCCTCGGGGCGAAATGCAGGTTAGTAACTAATATCCACTATTACATTCTATTTAGAGTCGCCTGCGCTACTTAAACGCAGATCTCAAAAGGAGACTGTGCTTGGGAGCGCAACCACAGATGCAGTATTAGGAAGACGACAGTACAGGCTATTTTCGTCAAACGTCAGTTCCTAATTTGAATAGACTTTGAAACTATCTCAGCTTCTTACAATAACCCGTCCCGTCTAAGGCCATAAGGGTGGTGTCTCTGCGACAAAGATCAGGCCATTGGGTACTGAAGAAAGAGAGAGGGTAGATGAATGCTTATCATGTAATAAACAAGCCTTACCCCTAAAATCTTCTTAAGAATGTTTTTATTCCAACTTTTAGTTGTTCCGCTGGATTTGTCGGAAGAAGGTGCGCTCAAGTAGCAGGTTAGTGGTTTATTAAGACAAGTATCAAACCGAATCTTAGCTGATAATGTGAAATCGCAACGTTGAAAATAGTCTTAGTGTGTTTTCAACTGCACTTAAAAATCACCTTTAACAAACTAACAATTTCAGGTCACCGCGGAAGGGTTCTTACCTACCATTCATATGCTATATATCTACTAAACTAAGAATGAACTGGCTAAGCCAGGTTCTTAATAGGGTTGTTATTCTAACTGAAAAAGGTGCATACCGCAGTGGCTTCGGTTCTTTGCTGATTAATAAGAAGTAGTTCCTTCTACACAGTCTGTTGCCATGCAGCCTGGTCTCTTTTCCACCCAAAGTCCCGGTTCCCAAACTTGGACGAGTCGGCCTAAGGGCCAAGTGATTCCAAGAGCAAGACGGACATTAGCCTTCGAAAATGTGGATTTAACTATTTTCTGTTTTCTCAAATATGTTTTTAAGAAGAATTTTTGGATATTTTATAATGCTTTGTGTTATTTTCTGATTTTATAAATAGGAACCTATTTAAGGCTTGACAGATTCCTTGGTTTCTAAACGCCAAAACGTTAGCCTACTCTTGGTTCTTATAAGTATCTTTGAATATTTCTGTCTCACAGCATTTCCTGTGGATGGGAAATACTCTGACTGGTCAGAATTCACTGACTGTACCAAGACATGTGGTGGAGGTCAAAAAAGTCGCCGGCGCAGCTGTACCAATCCCTCTCCACAAAACGGCGGAAAGGATTGCACTAGCTTGGGACCGGATACGGAGTATGCTGACTGTAATGTGGATGTTAGCTGTCCAGGTAAGAAGAGAACTGAAATGTCCCAGATCAGTGCTGTTCATGAAAATACTACGTTTCTGTTGAAACGATGCCGACTACATTTCAGTTCCAATTTCCTGTTCCCCTTAATCAGCTCGTTGACCAGTTAAGCTGTCAGAAATCATTTGGAACATTATTTAAACTTGGGGTGAAAATTTATAACTACCAACAGCTGCCTAGAAACCAACACAATTGTTGATTAATACATTAAACAAATGCAAAATGAAAAAAGGAGTGAGAGCTATGTCGTTGCCTTGGGCTCCCATCACTTTTACATAAGGGCTTTTGCAGGTTAGAAAATCATATGTGTCTTTTTGCATCTCAGAGATTTTGTTGTCAGGGGACTGAAAATGGGTTTCCCGTGCAAAACCCAACTTCAAGGTATCACCGGTAGTACATAATGGGGCATGGCTTTTCTTTTTTTTTCTTTTCTCTTTCTTTTTCAAGATTCCACTAACAGCAAAGACCTAGTGTAAAAGCGAAGCAAACAAAATTAAACCAATTAAACAAACAAACAATTAATAAATGCCGCAATCTTTAGTTTAGGTTCTGATTATTTTATCTTTCTTTCAGTTTCATCTGAGATATGGATCGCTGTTGGGATTTCCTGTGGTGCGTTCCTCATCATTCTTATCTTGCTTGTTTTGCTCTGCTTGCGAAGAAGAAGAAAGAAAGCTGAAGAAAACAAAAGGTAAATTCGAAGATCGTCCCGTAGCCAGATTAGTACAAATGTGGCTGCGGTAAAATATGAATGTTAATAGCAATGAGTTGCATTTGAAAATCTGTAAGGTTCGTGGCAACAAGGTGTAGTATGCTGAAGTGACCGCTCTTTCGATGTCCATGTCACAACAACTAGAACAATTTTTAGAGGCGATGTCCTGGGATGCCTCGGATATCTACCGCAGTTTAAAAACCTAATGCTAACATCATGCGGCAACAAAGAGAAAAAAAAAGATAGCCCTAGTTTAAAGGAATGAAAATCTAGTGGCCAGCTGTTGTAAAATGTTAGCGGAAGAAAGAAAGTCTTTACATACGAAAAGGGTTCTACTCTCACAGGATTGGTTTGGGACGCCAACTTGGCCGCCGTTTGATTGTTTTGGAACACCGATATGGCGGACGTGAAGTCATCTGAAAACGCTCTAGTGTTTGTTTATTTGTTGTTTTTTTTTTACAGCTCCAGTCAGACACGTTTTTTGAGATCTTCTAAAATTTTGTACGATTTATCATATTTCTGAACTTTAAGGTCTATGGATTTATACAACAGCAACGGACACAGAAACACCCCGATACCGTTGGAAGTAATATACGAGGACAAGACAATACCCAAGCCCTCCAATAAAGGACATTTAAACCCAGAATTTATTGGTGAAGATGATGACGACAACGACATATACAAGGCGCAGCTGTTGTTGTTTTTAAAGCAATCCCATTTAATACGGCCCAATGTATACCCAGACGAGCAAGACAACAATTCTGATACGTCCGATTATTCACGGAAGAATTCTAGAAGAGTTTCTGCGTTATCTGCTGCCAGCGACAAAAATCAAGGGGACAACGATAAACCGGTTGTTGAACTTGAGACCGCTGTAAGTTAACTTTTTACTTCACACAATATTCAAATTACCGTATTTTCCAGCCTCGGCCCTAGGCGTTCTCGACTCGGTCAAACCTGGACCCTATCGTGAACTGTGACGTCATGGAGAGAGACTCACCTCCCCTTTCCCAGACTTTCGCGGACAATGGGGCAAGAGGGAACGCCTAGGGACTAGGCTGTGTAGTTTCCTGAACCAATTTCCGGGTGCTAACTCACCCTTTCACTCCCAAACCAAACCTTTTGTCAATGGTTTTACATCTGACCATGCACAGTGTCTCCCAGCGGACCAAAAAAAAGACGGGCTGTGGTGACGAAAATGTTACCACTCATCCACGCAACCACGCCTTTCCTGATAAAATTTTGGACGTTCCTATAAATGGCACTGGGACTGGGACGTGGGGACGAGGACGCTGGAACGCGTGCACAGGAACTTGGGATTCGGGAGCGCGAGATAAGGGATTCCGGGACGTGAAGTTATTGGGGTGCGGTGACGCGAAATACGGGAAATGGAAAAGTCATGTGAAGTATGGGACACGACCGCAAGCGAAATACAGGACGTGAGGACGCAATTGTACAAGCCTGCTCTGGCTAGAGCCCGCTTTTAATGTTCACAGAGTTAACTCCTTTCGCTACATGAAAACTTTTATGTCACCACTATATATGGTTTTTACCAAGCCGATTTCGTCTTTTAAACATACCTGTCTCAAACCGACTGTCTCTCAAACCAAATACAGCTGCAGTCCGGCTAGCTGGTCACATTCAATCGTAAATTAGTGCGGACCGATGATTGATTCAAATGTTCTCTTGCTTAACAGGGCCAAACACAACACGATAAAAAAGAACTTCCAAGCACCGAGCTATGGTGAGTAAGAAAAACTCCTAATGAAAATAAGTTTCTCTAGCTTTGCTATAGCACTTTCTTAGTACAAAAATGCCGAGAGGGTCTGGAGACGAGAATGACAATGGCTGGCACATTTAGTGCGCATCGTCAATTGTTTGCATCAGCTGTTGTAGCATCATAGGTAGTAGAGTAGATTGTAGCTTAATGGTAGAGCATCTGGACTAGTAAGCCGGGCCGGAGGACATAGAGTGATTTTACTTCACCCATGAAAAAGGTTAGTAGAGTGCGTATACACACTATTATGCACTTATTCCACTGTCTTCCTTAGTTTACTAGTAGCTATTTTGCACTGGTTGTTAGTATCTGTTTCACGGATAAAGTAAATTAAAATCAGTCTAGGTTCGACTTCCAATTGGAGTAGTCGGATTTTTTCTTCGGAAGCCACTTGTGTCACTGACTGAAAAATTATCCTTCTCTTGAGGACACTGGTTAAGAAAGACAGCAAACATCAAAGATAAGAAACAACGGTAATTCTGTTTATGTTGGGAGTTCCCCGACGGTTCACAAATTTTGACAAGATAAATTAATGCGATGGAATGCTCAAATTTAACATACACCGGGGTGACTAGCTTTAAAGGCTTTTTAAAATTTATTGGGTATCAAACTTAGTAAATATTGCAATCTTACAAATTGTTAGTAGCCATTTCATTATCGTGCCATAAATATTCCTGTTTTCCTGTTATGGGGAACAGTATTGGACAACTCTTGGAAATAAATGTTGAGACATACGTTTTGTTATTTATAATATTGATTTAATTATCTTTTTTTTTAATCTTCTTTTTCCAGATCTCCCTGTGTGGCCTGAGTGCTTAGAACATAACTCCTCGCCTTTAAAGTTTGTAAAGATGAGATTTTTCTACTTAGCAAATTTGAATTAACCTTTAAATTCCAAAAGTGAAGCAATGTAGTGATGTATGCACATCGGTAAAAAGCTATTCTTTAAAAGAAAATTCGCTATAGTCGACTATTACGGACTGAGTTCTGAATTTTGATTTTGATTTTAAGCAAATTAGAATTTAATAGTTAACAAAGTGAAACTTCTGTAAAACTGCTACAAAACACTTAAAAACATTAGATTGGTATTCAGCAGGCGATCGAGGGTGCGATCAATCAAACAAGAGCTAACTTAAGCCAACATATGATAACATTTATAATATTAAAATTTAATGTCCATTTTTGGCGAATTTTCGCACGCAAGAACGGAGAGATTAACAAATTGGGTTCCGTTATGGGCACCTGGTTCCGTAGGTTCCTCATATGACATGGCTCTCGACTCACATAGTCTAACAGCCCACTGAGAACGTGAGAAGTCAATAACTGTAACAATGAAAGTGGCCTATTGATTGTCTGTGTTTGCTGGTTTCGTGAATCTAAGCCCTCTTAGCAAGACTTGGCAAGTTAGTGTGGTTAGTTAGTGTGGTTTGTACAGTTTGTCTTTTATATCTTTTTTTATACAGTTGAACCTCCCGTATAAGCCACCACCCAAAATGTGGATATTTGGTGGTCGCTTACGAAAATTGAACCTCTAACAAGGGTCTCTTCCGGGAAGAGGACAGATCTCATCTACATCATTTTGTAAGACAATTCACTGCATGTAGTTTCTAAGTTACGATATGTGCAGTTTCATAAATTCTTCGTATATTCTAAGAAGCACAATGCAAACAGCGATCATAAAAATCAGACAATGTGTCAAGCGGTCCCTTAAAAGAAGTTAAAAACAATTCAAAATCATTAAACCGTCAGCCTTTAAAAGTGTTTGCGGTCACTTAGGAAGTGGTCGTTTACGAGAGGTTCCAACTGTAAGGATTTGACTGGGAATATTTTTAGGTGGTCGCACACTGGGGTTCAACTATATCGGCTTTTGATGATACTCTTAGCTATGTACTTCTACGATGATGTCCAGGCGGTTTGACTGCACCTACTAGAATCAAGTTCAATTTTAGATCTTTTCGAGATAATCAGCACTATTGTTATTTAAACATCGCCGCCATGAGAGATAATTGTCTGTTCTGCATAAGAATAAAGTTCAGTAGTTGGATCAAATAAAGCTTGTTTCAAAGAATTTTCAGTAATTGACCATTCTCTTATTACAATCAACTCTCGCTTTGCGGACACCCCGCTATAACGGACACCCCGATAATACTGACAACAGCCAAATCCCGGCAAAAATAATGTTTGACTGAAATAAACTCCCGATATTACGGACTCTCGCTGATGAGGACACTGACTCAAGGTCCCCACAGTGTCCGCAATAAAATGAGTTGACAATTGATTGTCTGTGTTTGCTGGTTTCGTGAATCTAAGCCCTCTTAGCAAGACTTGGCAAGTTAGTGTGGTTAGTTAGTGTGGTTTGTACAGTTTGTCTTTTATATCTTTTTTTATACAGTTGAACCTACCGTATAACCCACCACCCAAAATGTGGATATTTGGTGGTCGCTTACGAAAATTGAACCTCTAACAAGGGTCTCTTCCGGGAAGAGGACAGATCTCATTTACATCATTTTTTAAGACAATTCACTGCATGTAGTTTCTAAGTTACGATATGTGCAGTTTCATAAATTCTTCGTATATTCTAAGAAGCACAATGCACACAGCGATCATAAAAATCAGACAATGTGTCAAGCGGTCCCTTAAAAGAAGTTAAAAACAATTCAAAATCATTAAACCGTCAGCCTTTAAAAGTGTTTGCGGTCACTTAGGAAATGGTCGTTTACGAGAGGTTCCAACTGTAAGGATTTGACTGGGAATATTTTTAGGTGGTCGCACACTGGGGTTCAACTATATCGGCTTTTGATGATACTCTTAGCTATGTACTTCTATGATGATGTCCAGGCGGTTTGACTGCACCTACTAGAATCAAGTTCAATTTTAGATCTTTTCGAGATAATCAGCACTATTGTTATTTAACCATCGCCGCCATGAGAGATAATTGTCTGTTCTGCATGAGAATAAAGTTCAGTAGTTGGATAAAATAAAGCTGGTTTAAAAGAACTTTTAGTAGCTGACCATTCTCTTATTACAATCAACTCTCACTTTGCGGACACCCCGCTATAACGGACACCCCGATAATACTGACAACTGCCAAATCCCGGCAAAAATAATGTTTGACTGAAATAAACTCCCGATATTACGGACTCTCGCTGATGAGGACACTGACTCAAGGTCCCCACAGTGTCCGCAATAAAATGAGTTGACGGCTGCCTGAGTTGACTGTATTTATATTTTGGGATTCAATTGCCATCCTTGTCTTGGCGGAGCGGTCCTTGCCGCTCTTACGTAGCTCGGGTGGTGTTATGGGAAACATGCAAGCCCTCGATCCCCTGAGCTCCTTGGTTACTATCTTTAACACACATTCTAAGTGTCTCAAATGAGATGCCATTTCAACAGTTGCACTACTCGTACAGTTCCTACCACTTGCATTGATGGGTTCCCCTCACGACAACTTTGTCAAAAGTCTCTAATGAAAAGCGAGTTCATCAATTGCACGTGCAAATGAGATGCAGTTTAACTACGCGATACTTCATATTATCACACTGAAATATCACCCATACACCACTAGTAGCAATCGTATGATCTCATCACTTTACCACCCGTACAAGTTGAAACAAACACAACACGACTTTCACAACTTGAACAAGTGGCGAGTATTGCGCAAACCTCTTCCTCAAAGGAAGCCTCCTCTAGGTCGCCGGGTATGTAAGTGCGCGACTTTTCGGATGCTTTCAGAGCATTATGATTCGTGCAAATCATAGTCTGCGACCCCTAATTCGAATAGTCCCAGAGGTCACAGACCATTTAGATTCTGAGACGAGGACAACTACGAGTACGAGATTTTCTCAATACTAAGAGGTGCGCGCGCATAGACCAGCGTCATTTTGGCGGGAAAACTTGATAGCCTTCGTCATTCTACTAGGGGTGTTAGCGAGAATGTCGTAGCGACGGAAACAAGATTTATCATTTTGCACTCAGGGGAGGGCTTAACCTCCTTCAAAAAAAATAACCGTGCTAACTTTTCTGGTGAAAAAACCACAATGAAGCTTCCTGGAATGTCGATTTTGAGAAAACAGTGGAAGCTCTTATAACAGACACTCTAGGACAGCTCTACTTCCGGTTTTTCTAAACTTCCATACAAACTCTGTGCTTTTACATTCCTGTAAGCGGCCAGCTAAAGCTACGGACACCCTGTTCGCGTCCCGAGGTTGTCCACTCACGAGAGTTTCCATTGTACGAAATCTGGCTCTCATAGCCGTTCTCGTCCTGGAATCTAAAGGCTCCTCGGGGGGAAAGGGAGGGAGTACTGCTTTATATGGGCTATATAGGTATGTGCCGCTGTGAGGGGTATGGCTTTCAAGCAGTTAACTTTGGGATAGGGTAAATAAATCAAAGAGTTTGGGGTCTAGAATAGGGTATCATTTTCTAGAAAACTGATCCATTGGTTGAAGATTTTAGTGTAGGAATTGCCACTCAAAAATATAAAAAAATCAAATCGGCATGTTTAAATTTACGTAACTCAGCCTAAAGGCTACTATAGGATAAGGGGTTTGAACTGAACTAGTGCTGGTATTAAGTCTAAGGGTTCCAGGGTCCCAGGGGCACATCACCACCCAAAAAATTCCTCAAGTACCGCCCCCCCCCCCCCCCCCCCCCCTAAGGTTCTTCTAAAAAAAAAAAAAAAAAAAAACAAAAAAACTAAACTTTTTTTAACACCACAAAAAACAGCATTTTTTCTAAAATGAATTTTTTTTTTTTTTTGTTTAATATTTAAATTTTTTTAATTTTTTTTTTTTGTTTTGGTAAATTTTTACCCCCCCCCCCCCCCCCCCTTCGGTCTAAAGGTTTCTAATACAAATAAAACTAAACAATTACGAGAATCTACGCTTTATTAACACACAACACAAGCGTATTGCTATGTTAAAGGCATTTTTTTTTCTCTGTGTGCAAGTATAAATTGTTGTACACTTGCTTCAGTTGGTCTGGATAATTATTTACAATACTCAATATATTACAACAGAAACAGTTGCCCTAACTAGAAAACATTACGCGCAAAAGCAGTTATTTTATAACCTTAATTCTTAGCTTGTCAAATACAATACTTTCAGTAGCTTTCCAAGAAAGATTCAATACATTTTGTTCCAAAACCTGATTTTGACAAACGTAACCTTGTTTTGGGCAAGTCCGATTGGTCGAAGTTCGATAGAAAAATAAATAATTGTGGACTTATCCCTAGAAACTGCCCGTTATGACGCGTGTTATTAGAGAGATTAAGATTCACATTTACGCCAAACGGCAAACGTGAATTTGTACCAGGTGACCAAGCTTTTCCCTTATTTTTCGTTTACTGTTTATTACTTTTACACAAAAAGTAAGTAGTTTTATGCCAGTTTTATCCATAAGAATCGTTCTGGACTGTTTTTATCTGCTTATTTTCTGTTCCGAGAAAAATCTCAACTGACTTTTACCGTTTGCCGTTTGCCGCATGCCGTAAACGTGAATCTTAATCAGTCTATTAGAGCCAAGTTTACGGCAAACGTGAATTTGTGCCGTGACCAAGTTTTCCGTTTACATGTTTTAGATTGGTCTTTACTTCTACAAAAAGTTAGTACAATGTAGTTTCACGTTAGTTTCATCCATAAGGATTGTCTTATAGTGTTTTTATCTGCTCGCGTTCTAATTTCAAAACTCTCAACTTCATCTCCAGTTGGCCGTAAACGCGACTCTGACTCTCTTCAATAGGAACCCAACAGACTCGATGTTTGACACTTATGATTTACCCATGCGCTCATGAGCACATTGTTTGCATGAATGAAAAGTTTGGAACAATCAAGGCCAAGGCAAACAACATGAAGTTGCCAGGTATTCTTCAATACAGCTCTTGAAGGATACGACCAGTCAAAAGCACCTTAAATTACCATTTGTTCTTAATATCTTAGTTGTTATTGGCCACTAGCTAGCATTAAATGTCAAAACTATAGCCACATAGATAAACACAATAGTAGTTTTACCTAAAATAAATAACTGCACACCAATACGAAATCAACCAATGGCGATAACAGAATCTATTTTAAACAATAGCTAGACAAGACACTGTTCTTCGTTATATTTTTTTCATAAACTTTCATTTTTTCTTTCGTCTGTTGGAAGTAAAACTAGAGGAGAGTAGAAAGATACGCAAATCACAGCTGAACACATTCCGTCTCAATGTCAACATACAGATTCTCCTTAAAATGAGCCTAATAATTACTTGCCAAATACCGCTAATATCAACAAACATATTGTAGTAAGGAGAATTCATGAGAATAAAGGACTGAATTTGTCGCACGGGAAATAAGGAGAATTTACATATTGATACGAACGATTATCAGTTATGAAAGAATATTCAACTAGTCAGTACAGCGGCTGGTAAAAAAAAATCTGCAAGTATCAAGTGGCCCGCACAACACCCATCATCAATGCAAAATTAATATAAAACTTTGGCAACGTGGTTCGTGAAAATAACGAAAGTAATCAACATAAATATGTTCCAGTGTAGTAAAATACTACAGCAGACCAGGTTTGATATATTTTTTTTACAGCCAACCCGGGCAATGAAGGGTAGATGATAAGAACTTGGCATAAGAGAGTTAACGCAACCACGAAGACGGGCGACAACGGGACGTCAACGTAAGAAGAGGATTTTCTGAGAAAAACAACACCTTTGCACGTGCATCACACTTTTTGGTACATTTCTTTGCGGTCGCAGCATGACTACGACGTAAAAATGGCCTAACTTCACGTTTTATGGAAGACGTAAACGAACGATGACGAATTTTTCTTCTTTTCTGATTCTTCTTAAATGAGGTGTCTATCAGATGACCATTTGCCTACATCTGACAAGCAAAAAGGGTTGGAATAATCGCGATGGAGTTTGAAAGTGACGTTTTGTTCACTGCTGTTGTTGTCCAGGTTGCGTGAACTCCTTGTTATTAGCTAACAAAATGATAAAATGTATAACTACACTCTGTTGGTAAGAAAACGAATGAATGATAAAACGCAGGAAATAATATAATCATTGTTGCATCACTGAAATAAAACCTTCTCTGTAGGGTATATGCACTGTCGACCAACATCAAGACATCTTTGAACTCTTCATAAATATTAAACATTTGTAGTGGCTGGTAAGATCACTTTTTACTTCACGTAAGCACACAACAAAATGTGCTGAACATAACACAATCTAACTATGTATAATTTGCACCTCACTAAACCCCTATGGGGTTACTGTTTGTTGTCACACCCTGTGAGCTTGAAACACTTGACATTGTAGTAGCAGCAAGATTTTCTAGTTCTAAGGTGGCTCGATGCGCCATTTGTGTGAGAGCACTGGTAGCAACATCTTCGGCTGAGGCGGGCTCCCCATGAGAATTGCTTGTTATAACTCCATTGGTTTGTTCTGTGACTTGGTGATCTGTGCATTACAAAGAGTAAAGACGGAGAATAAGAGTAGTAATTTACACTTGGATCAGGCACTACAGTGACTTGTTTGTGTACAATGTATTATTACTCTGATAGTCGAGGATTGTTACCGGTCAAATGTGATTTAAGGCTCTTTTTTTTCTAAACTAGCATTGATTATCAATTACCTTTGCTTCTTAGGGCTAAAATTTAAGATAACTAAGAACCAACCATCCGTAATAATCCGTGATTTTTTAAATAAATTTAACCTGTAATATATACTTGTACTCATCTCACAGAGCAATCCAAACTGTCCCTGTGGAAAACTGCTTAAAATTTTAATAGGAAGGGACGGCAGATTGCTTTCTGAAGCCTAACTATTTCAAGGAAAGCAAAAAAGCCTTACTCTAGTATCCAGGGGGATGGGGTGGGGAGGGTGGTTAAGGTGACTGAACACAGTTTTGGCAGTTTGTGAGTATAATTATGTCATTTGCCAAATCATGGCAAGAGAAAGGTTGCAGCTCACAAGCTGAAACTTGGTAAGTTAATAATATCCTGATGAAAGATTTTGACTGACAGGTAAAATGTGACGTTTTCATAGTTTCCATGGCAACATGAACGATTGAATGCAACCTCAACATTTCACTTTTGCCCAGTTTACATAAAATTTGCTCATAAGGTTTTCCTATAAACTTGCACACAGCTTACTATAATTAATCATTACCATTTGAAACTTATTTGACCAAATTTTAACAGATGGGTTTTTAGATAAACAATAATATGATTGTACTGTAATATTATTGAATGTGTCACAAAATTCATCAAACTTCCATTTTAAAGTTCTGGTTATTGAAAGTACGATAAAAGTAAAAATTCTGCAAAATATCACAAAATTTTAATGAGTAGATTTTGAGAAATTGTCATCTGTGAACCAATTCTTTTTCTTGCCGCCATGTTTGTTTGTCTAATTTAAAACACGCGCCATCACACGAGTTACCGCTGACCGCCTGCAAAACTGTGTTCAGCCACCTTAAACCATTTTACATTGAATCTGAAAAAAAAAAACACTTTACGTACAAGGGTTTTCAATAATACTTAAATACATGTATGTGCACTTACTCAACAACTGCGAGTTTCGCTGTTGTGCTATTGTGACTGGACAGTCCTTGTGTGCCAAAAGAAGTGATTTCAGCTGTGCAACTTCTGTTCTTAAAAGAGCTATTTCACTCTGGCAAGAAAAGTACAAAAAGTGTAAGAGTCAGAACAAATTAAAATGAAAACGTAGAATCACAAGTCAAAGTAGAGGCTGGTAAAAGAGATGACAAGAGTAAATCAAATTGAAAAAGAATATTTATTTGTATATCACATGTAATTAAAAGCTGAAAAGTTGTAGCATACAGCTTGCATGACTATATCTTGCTGGCCAGGCTGGGGCCATGCACAAAATCTATCGATCATCATAACGCAGAAACCACTTGTGTATTTTTATAATTCCAAGAGTTTGACTGGACTGAAAATCAGACATTAGTGGCTTATCAAGACTTGTGCAAATCGCTTCAGCAGTAATTCCAGGCTCCTGAGTAGGATGGCTGGCCCACTGGGATTATAAGTATTCGGTGCAAGTTGTTTTAATAATAATAATAATAATAATAATAATAATAATAATAATAATAGTAAAAATAATAATTTCATTATTTACCCTCCACAGTATTTTTAGCAGTATTTTGGGGGCCAAGCAAATGCATGAAACAAAATAATAACCTAACTCAAACATTACAGGGTTAAGAACCCCAGCTGGCTGAGGGCAAATCAGCTGGCTATTTTCAAGTGTGGCAGAGTATTTGAACTCGAGACTACTGAGAACAAATCCAGATAGCGGTCACAGCGCGACTTGAACTCAGGGCCTCTGAATTGCAAGTCCAGCACTCTAACCATTTGGCCACACTGCCTCTTTAAAGGGAGGACAATGTTAAGCTCCTTAGAGTTCCAGGTTAGAGAACTAAAACAACAATGACCTCACCTCGCAGGGAAGCTGATATTATAAGCTACCATAAATTATACATGTACTCATGTTACATGTACAGTGTACTAGGCATGCCTACCTGAAGATGGGCATTTGTGTTAGTAAGGTCGTCAGCTTTTTTCTCCAGTTGCTGCACCCAAATTTTCCTTTTTTCTCTACACCTAGTGGCTGCAGCTCTGAAAGACAAGGTAACACAGGAATAGCCAATATTTTGCAAAGCTGTGAAGGTTGTTGCCACTTATAATGTTGATGCGTAGAGTAGTCAAGAAAGTACATGTAGCACTCTACAAAAATACGCTAATTTTTGTGTCTACTCACCGATTTCTCTCAAGAAAACGCTTTCTTCTCTCATCAGGGTCCAACTCATCTTGAGTTCTTCGTGGACGTTTTCTAATAAAAGATGCCAGAATGTGTTTTAACAAGTGAACAATGACTTGACTAGTCTGAGAAAGAGAGAAGAATAAAAGAACTAACAGCCGCAAATCAGGGAGGGCTGTACTCTAGCAGAGCCTGCAAAACCCATGGCTTTGCGGCTGCAAGTAATGTCTAGTTTCTGCAGTAGCAGAGGATGGCTGTTCAGGGCTTTTACTAACTATTAGTTAATGAGCCAATTATAAAATAATTTCATGAACACCTGACCAATTTCGATTTAGTGACATCACCCCTATTGATGAACCAGAAGGTGTAGACTGGAAATGTCACAGGACAAGAAGTGGACGTCATCACCATCAATGGACCAAAATAAAATTTATCAACGTCATCACCATCGATGGATCAAAATAACTTAAGTGAAATCAAAAACTCATGTTCCTACTGGTTGAAATTTGACATGTAAACTCGAATACTGGGCACGCTCAATTTCATTTCATTTCCTTTCCAGGCAGTGACTTGGGCTCCTACCAATTTATTGAAATTATACATTTGTGCTCTAGCAGCACCAGGTGACCCCTAGCACCTAACTTTTGCTCCCAGGCAACTAAAAAATCTTAGTGTTTTTTTTTTCATAGAAATTATACATTATACTGGGAAAGCTAGATTTTATAGGTTCAACTTCAACTTTTATGGGAGCAAAGCCTTGCTCTTAACGGGTGAGGGTAAGACAGTTTGAAGACACTCAGCTTTGCTTCATCACAGAAATCATGCCAAACAAACCGTTCTTGTGTGTAACAGAAGCCCTATTGGGTTTGCTTTTCATGGTGGCTCAGTTTGAACATAGCTTATAGTCCTACAGAAGTGAACTTGCATGGAAGTGGAAGGCAGTGTACTTACGAGGCCCCTGTCCCCCTCTTGCTGTCTTGTACACTCATGTTGCTATTAGCGACTATAGTAGTTGGGTGGTGTGAATGGTTCATGTGGCTTCCTGGACTTGGTATACCATTATGCTGTGATGTTACCATGTCAACAGCTTCTGTCATGGCACGATGAATTATATTGCTGGAATTGGCAGCTTGTTGCTGTTGGTGGAGTTTGAGTTGCTCCTTGAGACGCTGAAAAAATCAACAAGAGGAAATTAGACCATTTGGCCTCTAAATCTTTATGACCAGGGACTTCATGTATTGACATGCCCATGATTCTCCAAAAAAAAATTTGCTGAAATAAGACATTCAAAAAATCAATGCCATTGTAAAATAAAAAAACAAAACAAAACAAATCAAAACATTGTCCAAAGTTTTCTACTGTCCTGTACAATAAATTATAGTAAAATCCAACTATTGGCTTATAATCAATGCTGCATTCTGATTGGTTTAGCTACTACTAGGCTATATGTTATAGCCCACTAGTAGCGAAAAGCGCCGGCTTTGAAAACCAAAACAATGGCGACTGAATCGCGTTTCGCTAGTTAAAGTTGTTCTGTCTCGATATTTTTGACCAACTAGTTGGATTTTACTAAAACAATAGGCGAGAGGAGGGAGAGAGGAATAATAATTATTCCTTCCCTGCCCTCATGGCCTCTGAGTCAATAGCCCATTCGGCCTTCGGCGCCATGGGCTATTGACTCAGAGCCCATTCCGGCTCGAGGAATAATTGTTAAATATACATCCTATGTAAAGTAACACACACACTGTAGAAATGGTGCTATCAAAATAATCTATTACTATTCACAACTTAGCGAAGAAACCCGCCAAAACCATGTGGTTCCACTTGAGTTCAATGCATTTTATGACAATGCCCATGAGTCTAAAAGGGGGCTGACAATGGAAAATTGTGCCAATTTATTACGTCTATACCACGTGCAGTTGTATAAAGTTAATAGCATTGGTAATATTTTATCTCAGGGTAAATCAGTATTCAACCTAGCAGCAGAATTTCCCCTGTTTCCTACAAAGGAAACTCTTGTTTAACCTAACATGGATGTTGCTAACTACATATATAAAGACTTACTACAACACTTTTCGGATTGGCATGAAGGAGGGCAGAATCTTCTCAACATTTTGAAGAAGTGATGACATAACACCATTTGCTCACAAGTATTGTTTTCCAAACAGATGTGAATTTGCAAAGCACATTATTTTTGTTCAAACACACCAAGGGTTTTTGGTTTAAAGATCAATCATGTAAAACAACATGCTTTAGAAGCAACCCCACGAGGGGAACGTAGTTAATTCCGAGCCAAGGCTGATAACACTTACCGAGACCTTGATTATTTAGGGTATCACTAAAACCGACTCTAACAATTGTTTTATTATACATTGTTTTGAAGAAAATAACAACATACAGCAAGGAACCTGAAATCGATATTGCTATTAGAAATCATGCATCGCGCGTGCAACCTACAGATTAGTCAATTATCTGGTAGCAGACAACTAACTAATCTGTAGGTTGTGCTGATTTCCAAAACTTCAGTAGCTGTATGCTCCTAGCCAATGAGAAGACACCTCATGAGTACAATGTACAATAAATAAAGTTATTGATTGATTCATTGATTCTCCGTTTTAAAACAAACCTGTTTAGCACTTCCCATGAACGAAGGAGGACTACTAGCACTCGGGCTGACCACAATGGCAGGAGTGGGGATGGACGGGATTGGCATTGAGCTGCTGGATGATGAAATCACACGACTAGGGATGTGAGTAGGCACTGGAAGCGCTGATGGCACCTGAGCATCAGGTGCTGCAATGGAGGCAGGTATTGCTAGCGGGATGTGCGGGGGTACTCTGACAAGAACAGATACTGGAGCTGAGATGGCTGAAGCTTTTTTGGTTTCTGTAGTTACAATATGGGGAGACGGAGGTGCAGGAGGTGGTAGTAGAGTCTTAGATTGAGATTCGTCGATGACTATAACACTTGGTAATGGAGTTGCACTGTTTGGGGGTGAGCTCTGAGTTGAAGGTAGTTCAGTTGTTGTGTGAGCACTTGAAGGGTTTGGAGGCTGTGAATTACAATGGAAAATAATTTAATAAAAATCAATTAACGGTAACTCAATGTGACTCCTACTTTGACTTAGTTGTTAACAAATTCTTCACTCCTAAAGTTGACTCCCAATAACTTGAAAAGTCAAGGCAAAATGCCAAAAATTCACGTCATGAGGAGTTTGAGTTATTGACATCACAACTTGGAATGCAAATTTATTGCACTGACACGTGTTGCAGTGTCAGTTTTTGTTTACTTTCTATGCAGAATTTCTTTTTGTTTGTCACAAAATTCCCTACTCCAATAAAACAATGTTTGTTGTGGAGGACTGTGTACAGTCCGGAATATCCCTAAATTTAAGGACAGGGCCAACTGGTCACGCGACACTTTTCAACCAATGAGAAGGCGCGCTTGTGTTTATCAACAAACAAATCAAAACATCGCCCCAGTGATCAAAAATTTTCAAAACAACGGACGGAGTCAGACAGAATTAAAGATGAGCTTTCAGTACTCGTCTAGGTTTCACATTTAATATTTCAAAGAAAACATTTCATGTAATAGAATAAGAGCATTAATCATTGCAAGGAATCATTGGGGTGTTCGAATTGATTCCGGACCGATTGCAGAGGTCGTGGTTTCACTGGCATGCATGGCTTGCAAGATTTTTGATAGAAGCAAACTGGTCCCGTGTAAAAATAGCCTTAAAGAGAGTGTGAAAATTTGTTGAGATCGTACAAAACAGGATTGCACTACCCATTAACTTCTAAAGGACAAGAATCAAAGTACCAGTCATCATAACAAGAATAGAAAGTAGTTCAAATTTATTAACTTTTCTTGTTTGTTTTTTTGTGTTGTTTCGCGTTTACTTCACGCATCTGGTGCTTTCTTTTCTTGCTGTAGTACCTGCATGTTTTAATTTTATCCCAGATAATCATTGCATGTTCAATGAGTTGCGAAATACATCATTTATAATTGAGATTTGCCTTGTTTCTTTGATTGTTTTTTAACGGTGGATGAACATTTGGAGAATCCAACAACATTAAATCTTTCTAGATTAGTGAATTTCAGAAACAAAGCGGTTAGTATCTACCTTGCGCTTATGATCTTCAATTTCATCTCCGCAAATTCGGCAAAGTGAGGCGAGATGTTAGACGTGAATATCCATCAGATCCATAAGACTTATAAAGTTGTTTTGGCCTTGAAAAGAAAAAAGGCAAAGGCTCGTACTAATGCGAAAAAAAGTAATAACACGGCTCTGTGAGAAACCCGGGAGTGGAAAACGTACGTTTTTTGGACCTCGGAATTCAAAAATTGTCTACCAAAATTCTAGGTTGTCTACCATCTCCACATTCAACATGACAAAAGTTAATCGATATGACAATCGAGGAAAAATATCTAGAACTTCGTAAAAAATCTGTGAATCGAAAAAATAATAGATACTTGTTCACCTACCTTGAAAACCGACTAAAATCTCGCCTATACATCGCGTTGTTTAAAAGATAAAAGAAGAAATAAGCCACAAAATGTGCTGAATATTTCACGAGACACTTCCAATATGGCTTCCGATACGCTGTCCACTTAAAAAAATTGTGTATGCCTCATGAAAAGTCTTAAAAATATGCCTGAGAGCCCCGAAACGATGACTGATTCTGTCCGACTCCGTCCGTTGTTTTGAAAATTTTTGATCACTGGGGCGATGTTTTGATTTGTTTGTTGATAAACACAAGCGCGCCTTCTCATTGGTTGAAAAGTGTCGCATGACCAGTTGGCCCTGTCCTTAAATTTAGGGATATTCCGGACTGGTGTAGGAGGCTAAATCTACCAGTAATCTAAAGATCCTGAGTTTGTTTTTCACTGTGGTGAAAGTTTCCTGTTTGAAAGTACATGAACGATCTTATTATTTTTCCCTCAAAAATTTTCTCTTCTGGTTTACACTATGGGTGTTCCTCTTCTCTGCAATACTCGCTTGTGAACTGAGATGTAAGTACATTGTAGTTATTATTTTAAGTAATAACTCTTTCACTCCTTATTATGTTACATTTGAAGCTCTTGTGAGTGGACACCCTCAAGATGCCAAAAAGGTGTCCATAAAAATATAGACTTTGTATGAGGGTTGAGAAAAACAGGGTTTTGAGAAGGTGCCCGCAAGTAGAGCTGTCCGCTTACAAGAGTGTCCATTGGGAGAGTTTCCACTGTATGAAGATATTATTTCTCACTCCTATTCTAAAATCTGTGGAAAAATTCTATTCACTATTTTCACACAAACTATAATGCACCTTGTTCTCCCCCACCCAACCAAAAAATATATATGCATAACCAAAATTTGGGAGGTAGGGGTAAACAAGGTACATTGTGGTCAATGGAAAAATGGTGAATAATGTTACCATTCAAATTAAACCTCTCTGGTAGATCCTTAGCATGGTACCATCTTCTTTTTTAGGATTTTACCAAAGAAAATTAAAAAAATATATATTTTTTTTCTCTGTTCTTTCTGTTTGTGTGATCATCATTAGGAATGAATGGCATAATATTGTTTTTGGTAATATCTTCTCTATTACCTGTTCAGGTACAGTGGCTCTCTTGAAATCCTTAAATAAAATAAAGTACAATTATTACATGTCAATTAAATGGAACAGTTTTCACATTAATAGCATTATCTTATCCAAGTAGACTGCAGATAGCAAACAACAAATTCAAACTAAAGCAGTTTAAGCTAACAATTCTTTTTGATACATGTAATACTGGTTGATAGTGGTTTGGTCTTTTCCTGTGCTGTTAGTGGCTGCAGCAACAGCAGTCACACTGCAAAATCACATTAAGAGACATTATCATTGATAACATTACATATAATATTATACTGTGTAAAAACTGTGCATGTACAAATTCTGTACATGTAGAAGTTTGACTTAGTGGTGGGCTCGGGTAAATGGCTAAAAGGAGAGAAGACACACCTGATCAAAAGGATTGTCTAAATCTACAAACAAGCCTTCCTCCTCACAGTTCCTTAAGAATCGTGTTGGTGTGGGTGTCTGATCTGGAAAAAAAAAAGAAACGAGTCAATAAATTATTACTTAAATGTACAGAGTACTGCTGACAAAGGCTGGCAACTAGAGCCAGTTGTTAAGGAGAATTGGCTCTGATAAGGGACCACATCATATACCTATCAAGGACATCACTACCGAGAGCTTTTAGCAGAAAACCTTGGCTTAATAAGTTGTCACCAATTTCCAATGAAATGTTTAAAAAATGCTACATAGTTTCTCTATAACTGTGAAAGGTTTAAAGCAAGGAGTCATCTCATAAGCAGGTGGAGCATGATCATCCGGGTGAACATAGTGCTGAATAGGACTGTTGTTGACACTAATTACTGATGTTTCAACAAACTGTGTGATAACCAATAACATCACAACTTAATTGACCAATAAGGTCAATAACCAGAGTTAAATACCATCAACTGACATGATACAACTCACTTTGATTCTAAAGATGACTACCAAACAGGTTGTTGAAACATCAGTTACTGTCAACCACAGTCCTATTCAGGACTACAATCACCTGAAGTTTCCCTTTTACCTTTTGCTTGATTCAGTTGGCATATGTATCAGCCAATGAACCATGCATGAGTGCTTATATACCCTTTATTCCCCTTAATTTGATCAAGAAGTAGATGCCTTTCTTTAAATGCTAACTAATTGGTCACTTATAAGAACTTAAAAATCAAAAGAACAAGGTGGCTTTCAGAAGTGGTTGCTGTGCTGTACAGAGTTCAAGTGACTGCTCAAAATGGGATTTCACAAATTAAATCTCCTGATATTCATAAGCCACTGATAGAGACCAAGAAATTTCGTCACCATATTCCAGGTAGACCTACTTTGCTCTGAGGTCATAACAGAAATATGTTATCAAACAGATGATAAATAATCAGGTTGCACAATATTTTGGGGGTACAATTTAATACTTCCTACCCACTCAGACAGGTTAATAATTATTTTTCCATCATTATAATCACAGATTAATGGTCTATATTCTACTTTACAGTCCACTTATATTAAAAGTTTCCTTTTTATCCTGATTGAAACCACCCTGAGATCTAATACTGCTGTACATGTAGAGAGTATCTTACCAGCCTGGTTTTTCAAGTTAGTTACTGTAAGCTTATAAGGAGCTTGGTTTCTTTCTCTAAACTTACATGTAAAGCTTTAGGGAGATATTCAGTACACAAATATTTTGTATAGCAACANGAGTTAAATACCATCAACTGACATGATACAACTCACTTTGATTCTAAAGATGACTACCAAACAGGTTGTTGAAACATCAGTTACTGTCAACCACAGTCCTATTCAGGACTACAATCACCTGAAGTTTCCCTTTTACCTTTTGCTTGATTCAGTTGGCATATGTATCAGCCAATGAACCATGCATGAGTGCTTATATACCCTTTATTCCCCTTAATTTGATCAAGAAGTAGATGCCTTTCTTTAAATGCTAACTAATTGGTCACTTATAAGAACTTAAAAATCAAAAGAACAAGGTGGCTTTCAGAAGTGGTTGCTGTGCTGTACAGAGTTCAAGTGACTGCTCAAAATGGGATTTCACAAATTAAATCTCCTGATATTCATAAGCCACTGATAGAGACCAAGAAATTTCGTCACCATATTCCAGGTAGACCTACTTTGCTCTGAGGTCATAACAGAAATATGTTATCAAACAGATGATAAATAATCAGGTTGCACAATATTTTGGGGGTACAATTTAATACTTCCTACCCACTCAGACAGGTTAATAATTATTTCTCCATCATTATAATCACAGATTAATGGACTATATTCTTCTTTACAGTCCACTTATATTAAAAGTTTCCTTTTAATCCTGATTGAAACCACCCTGAGATCTAATACTGCTGTACATGTAGAGAGTATCTTACCAGCCTGGTTTTTCAAGTTAGTTACTGTAAGCTTATAAGGAGCTTGGTTTCTTTCTCTAAACTTACATGTAAAGCTTTAGGGAGATATTCAGTACACAAATATTTTGTATAGCAACAGTACAAACAGCAAAATCATTTACACACAGCAGCTTGGCATGTAACAACCCTCTACCCCCCACATGTAAAAGATATTCAACAGCAACTTTCCCTATCCCTATCTCCCCTAGACAAAATAAACGGCTCATAGACACTTGAAAACTTTCTTCCTATTGGTTATGACTTTGACACAGCTTTTCCCATTTTTCCTGATTTGATGGGAAATGCTGTTGACAAGATTCTCTGATAAATGTATGAATTTTTGTAACCTTGACAAAAGTAGTCACAAAAATACAGATTTAAGCTTAAATAACTCGATGAAGTCTGACTAAACTTAAAATACTTAATTTTACTTAAGGTGAGGACAATATTCTAAAGTGGCTTTAGAAACATGTTCTCTATGTCCACTTATTAGAATGTAACAAGTATAATAAAGAATACTGTAGTAAACCACGTAATGCATTTGTAAAACACAAAGTTAAACGAATGAAGCATGCATTGTTTACACGGTTCAAGATATTACAAAAGGAAAATATAGGATGCCAAATTTAGTCAACTGATAATTACAAATGTATCTGCTATCGACTTAACAATGCGGTTTTAAAATAAGTTACCAAGATTTTCAGAGGAAAATGAACGCTCTATTATAATGGAGAACAATAAAACAGAGGCCTCGCAAATTCATTTACATGTATCAATGCGAAGTCTCACGTAGTCGATGCGACCAAAACGTGAGATTTCGCAAGAACGCCAAAAGAATTATGAAGAAAATTCAAACATTACCTGCAACAGAAAGATCTGTTCCCTTGAGCGCGCCGAATTTCAGTGTAAGTTGATGTTTCTGTTTGTGTCGTTCTAAATGATCGTTGTTAGCGAATCTCTGTGGACGCGAGGTGAAAAGTTAGCTGGCTGGCTAAATGAAAGCTTACGTAAGGCTTAAAATCTACTACAGGTGACGACATCGCTTTAAAATTAAACCAGTCGCCTCCAACTCCCCCAGGAAGAAACCCTTCACAGGAACTAGAAGCGAGAAGAAGATGCTTACCTGCCCGCATCCTGCCGCCGTACATTCAAACGGTTTGTCATCGCTATCCGACATGTTGAATCCGTCTTTCTTCATAAAGCCTTCGAAAGCCACTGCTTCTACCGACCTCAGATATCTTTAAACTTCCAGAAATTCAAACAGGCCATTCATAAGTTTCACTTTTGCCTTTCTGAATCTTTTAATGACAAAAAAGATGTAAATTTGCCATCCAAAAATAGTAAAATTTAGTGAAAGTTTTCTCCCTCGCGTCCATTCAATGCATATTTTTGTCACATGACGTAATTACAAGGAACAGGAGACGTGACGTCATGGGTAAGCCTCGTTCGGGTGTGGATTGCTGACAAAGACTTCCGCTTTCGAGTTTGTTCTGATTGGCTCTTTTGAATGGTAGCTTAATTAACAAATCTGACTTGTTTGAATTTGATTGGAGGAAAAATGTAGATCGGCGTAAATTTGAAAAATCCCCGCTCGAAGGGGAAAAAAAGCGTCCGGCAATTTATTCGTCATGCAAAACAACAGCGAACTGATCCTAGAGACGAGAGGAGAAAGAAGATTCGAAATATATATAAATTTTTTGACTTTATTTGCTGATAGAGTCAAAGCTCTCGTACCAGGTGCCCGTTTCTCGAAAGTCCCGATAATTAAAGGGCCCGTAAAGCTTTTGTTGTTTACATGCAAGGTAAAGGTTTCAATAGTTTTGCATCTAACATGACAAAACTATCAGTTAAGGAAACAAAATGGAGTAGTTTGCTAGCCAGAACCCGCGCTCTTATTCTTTATATTTCGATTTGAAAGTTTGATTTCAGGCCCGAAACGTTACCGGGGCTTTCGAGAAACGGGCCCGAGGAGCCGTACTGAGCGACCACCTCGGGAACCCATATATGAAACTGTTCGTGATTAGATCTGAGTTGGTCATTTGCGAGAATGGGCTCTCGTAAACGACCATGTGATAAATTTATTGAGGGCTAAAATTCAGGCTCAGTAGAAAAAAAAAAAAAACTGATCGCAGCCACATCCAAAAATAGTAAAATTTAGTGAAAGTTTTCTCCCTCGCGTCCATTCAATGCATATTTTTGTCACATGACGTAATTACAAGGAACAGGAGACGTGACGTCATGGGTAAGCCTCGTTCGGGTGTGTATTGCTGACAAAGACTTCCGCTTTCGAGTTTGTTCTGATTGGCTCTTTTGAACGGTAGCTTAATTAACAAATCTGACTTGTTTGAATTTGATTGGAGGAAAAATGTAGATCGGTGTGAATTTGAAAAATCCCCGCTCGAAGGGGAAAAAAAGCGTCCGGCAATTTATTCGTCATGCGAAACAACAGCGAACTGATCCTAGAGACGAGAGGAGAAAGAAGATTCGAAATATACATAAATTTTTTGACTTTATTTGCTGATAGAGTCAAAGCTCTCGTACCAGGTGCCCGTTTCTCGAAAGTCCCGATTATTAAAGGGCCCGTAAAGCTGTTGTTGTTTACATGCAAGGTAAAGGTTTCAATAGTTTTGCGCTCTTAATCTTTATACTTCGATTTGAAAATTTGATTTCGGGCCCGAAACGTTACCGGGGCTTTCGAGAAACGGGCCCCTGGAGCCGTACTGAGCGACCACCTCGGGAACCCATATATGAAACTGTTTGTGATTAGATCGGAGTTGGTCATTTGCGAGAATGGGCTCTCGTAAACGACCATGTGATAAATTTATTGAGGGCTAAAATACAGGGTCAGTACAAAAAAATAATAAAATGATCGCAGCCTTTTCGCCAGGGTCTTCTCGTTTTCCGCCATGTTGGAAAACGAGAAGACCTGGAAGACAAATACAGGGAGAAAGTTGTGAGTAGCCTGAGTATCAACCTGCCTTCATAATAAAAGACTAAACAAGTTTTTCATAGACGCCGAACTAAATCGTAGATACTTTTGTTTTTTGGCCATCTTAGCTTAAGAAGAAACAAAAAGCGAACTGTGGAGATACACATAAGGAAATATAAACAAACTTCGGGAAAGAAAAAAGAGAGACTTTAACTTGACGTTTCGTATGTTCCAACATACATCTTCAGAAGAAATAAACTGTTGAATGACAACAGAAATTAAATGTAGAATAAGAATACGACCAGTTGACTTGAATGGTCGGCAATAGCAGATGAGTGATTGCGACTCATAATGGATTTGAAGTGCTCCTTTTTCCGGTCATGCAATCTTCGTTTAGTTTTGCCTATGTAGATGCTAACTAGTCAGCAGCACCCAGGGACGGACTATTCAAACGTTAGCCTGTTCACAGACCCTCTATTTTCTCTTCAAAGTCCGTCGAGCGCGCGTGATAAAAAATAAACTGCGTGGGATTTATTGACCCCCAGCGCAAAGGGGGAAGAAGAAAATAGACGTTACTTATTTTTCTTTCTCGCGCTCCGCGCTCGCTCTCGCGCACGCCGATGTTTTCCAAAACAACGAAAAGAAAAATAAAGCAACGTCTGTATGCAGGCTATTCAAACGTATTCAGAGGTATGGATGTCAACAATACCAATTTCAGCACTGAAGGACATACTACCAACTCCGCGGTATGGCCAGTACCCTTCATGAGCATAGCGATATCACCCGGGCATTCTAGAAGTGACCCATTATCTTTTCCAGACCACGTGCCCTGCTCCATCCTCGGAGACCCAGGGGCCGTCAGTCGGGCCGGGAGGAAAGGCGCGACCAAAGTTTTCAAGCACAGGTGGAAGAGCCCCTGGGTACCGACTCTCACCGGACCACTGTTCCAAATGGTCAAGCGAATGCTGGCTCCTGATTGGGCACAAAAATTGCCTTGTATTATGGTGCCCAATCGGCGAACAGCATCTCCTGGGTTCTTTCAATTTCGTGAGTTCGTACACGACGGCTATTTACTCGATTACGGCTTGTCTGGAAATGCACGCAGTCAGGAAACTTAAACTCCTTATTTCAAAATACTGTCTACCCGGAAACTAAATCATGGAAACGTATTTAAGGGTATTATCTACTACAAAAGGTATTCACGCTTGCCTAAATATTAGGGAGTTTACTGATACCACGATGGCTGACGGCCTCGAAAACGTCGCTTGAAAGGTGAATTTGCGTTTTTTAAGTCTCTATCGTGGTTAATTCGTGGTTCACGCTTACTTTGTCAAATGCAAACAGACTCTTCTGGAGCTGAATTTCTCTCAACCATATCCAAGTTCAGAAAGAGAAAGAAATTTTGTCGTTGCTTGTTTGCGTCCTCCACAAAACGTGAAATTAGGCATTTTCACGTGGTAGTCGTACAGTGACGGCAAAGAAATGTACAATTAAAAAAGCGTGATGCACGTGCAAGACGTTTTTTTGCCTTGTCAAGCTGTTCACGTTCTCGTTATCGTCGTCGGTCAAAAGACAGAATTTTCTCAGTGCAAATTGAAATGCTCCTGTTGATAGCTTCAGAAACGTTTTTCTGACTCATCAGATCTTCTCCAGGTCCCTAAACGCTGTAGAGCACTGGGTTACGTGGATGACCCATAGGTTCCTTCCATCATTCGACAATGCAAATGACCGCCTCTGTCAAGAAGAGATCCAGAATACAATGGTAACGTGACGTCACACTTCTCGCTATTTTACATGTAGAGTACTTCATGGAAAGTGTGCGAGTACGGTATTAAGCAGCGAGTTGTTGAATCCGAACGAGTGAGACTTCTGATGCAAAGGCATGGGCAACAAGTGCGTAAATACCGCACAAAGCGCTTTATTATATACATACCCAGACATCTTTTTGTCAGCTTTTTGCTTCAGATTTGTCAAATCTTTCTCAAATGCTAAAATGCTAAAAGTTACCGCTACTCACCTCGAAATGATAAAGAAACAAAGTATACTAGTAAAGACGTGTGGTAAAAATTATAATGAGGGTAAGGATATGATGTAATTCAGGAATTAATGTTTCCGTTTTGTTCTGAATGAAAATGAATAAATTTGAGTAAAACGACCGGTAGATTTGAATATAAACAGAAGACAATGTCTCCGATAAAATGTACACATGGTTCTTCCCCTTCCGTGCCAAAAACATCGTTCGCTCCTCTGATTGCCTAGAACTCATTGACATATGAAAATAATTTACGACATAGCTTTTCAGTGAGTATATCTCCGTATATATATAATAATATACTACCCAGTGGGTAGAGTGCAGTCACGTAAGTTAACGTACCCCGAAGTGATTGCTAGGGCGAGCAGGACTACCATGGATCTGAGTAGGGCAATGGCGAATCGCGGTGTTTGGGAGGAGATCTCTATGAATGTCCCGTCCACTCTGGTGGTCGAAGGATTATAATGATTATTATGTACCCCAGCTGTTATAAAATTATATAATACTTCATTGACCAATTAAATGCATTAAAATATTAACCTGATTTACCTGTTCAAAAAACGAGGGGAATGGCTTCATTCATTTATGTTGCTCTTTCGGCAGAAAAAAACATCACCAAGCTATATTAAACTACCCTGTGTAAAAACAGAGGGGACCGCAGGGACCAAAAGCATTTATCCCGAATTACTAAGGTGAGCGTGAGAGCAAGCAGGCCAACCACAGGTAAGATCATCTCACCACACCAAATACAGAAGGAAAGCTATGAAAAACACAACCTGCCTTTAAAGATCTTAACATTGTTTTTTCATAGATGTTAACGAGTCATTCTAACTCGTTAGCAGCACTCAGGGACGGACTATTCAAACGTATTCAGAGAAAAGGATGTCCACCGGCATTCTAGAAGTGTCCTCAGGCCACGTGACTAAAAGAAACGACGGGCTCTGGGGACAAAAATGGAAACGATCCATCAATTCCAAGCTAGGACCACATGCGCAGCATACACCTGCCCTCCTCCGGATTTTTTATCCAGCCTGTAGCAATACTCTTCGGTTACTCGTAGGGTAAATCATTTTTTTCTTGCTGCTCTCTTATGGTTTCAAAACCCTCCACCTTTAAACTCCACTTTGACTTCAAAGAATTGGTTAACTGGCAGGAACAAGATTTTCTAAGTTCATTTTGATAGTTATATTTTTTAAATGACAACTGATCCTTGTTTGTTTCAAGAACTAAGTATAACGTAACAACTTGAAATAATTCCAAACATCGAAGGGAGAAGGAGAGATTAAGGCCTGGCCATAAAAGATCACCCTAAATCAAAAGTTTAAATGTAAACTGATGAAGCCGGTAAAAATTAAAGTAAAGGGAACTAAAAGTCAAATTAAATTTACAAATTTGAAATGGACAAAATAGACTCAAACGTTCAACGTTTTTATTACTTTAATATTCTGTTTTTATACCTCGCTATTATGAACATTTCAGTATCACATAGGTAAAGGGCAAGAGAATTTTTAACTGAATTATTTACAAGTTACTTTCTATTCATCTGATTTATTACATACATTTTACGGCGCTACCTCCTCAGGTTAATTACATGTTAACGTCATGTTAACCACGTGGTTTTCTTTAAGTAAGTCAAGTAACTAAGAACGTATTGCCACTGCTGAAGAACATTGATTTTCCTGAATATAATTGTTATTTAATTTCCAATCGGCTGCTCTGTTTCTTGACTTGACCAGTTGAGTTCTTCAGCTCCTTGCGCATGCTCTGCTTCAAGTCTGGCCACAACGTTTGGCGATTTAAAGAATCTCATCTCAATTTCTTGGGCTTTAGCGAGATTAGCAGTTTTACACAATATTTCGATAAAAGCAACGCGAAACTCTCGAATTTTGATAGAATAAAGAATCGGGTTAATAACAGAGTTCAGTAAAACTACAGTCTAACTGTAAGAAAAGATGACGGTGTATGTGGTGTCTAAAGATATTCCGTTCTCGGGGATGTACTTTTCTAAAATGATTCTACTTATAAGAGGGTCTCAATGGGGTGGTGGCTTTTACGGTTATCGGCTAAAATTTTGGCTCTTTTACGGCTATCCGTTAATTTTTTTCAGTTACTGTTAACGAAAAAGTTAAAAATTAACTTCTTTTGTTTCAAAAAGTTAAATATTAATTAATCTGTATTTTTTGAGTGAAGGTCTTCGGATCATCTCGGGATCATGAAATAAGCTCTTCTTTTGAAAATTTTAACATTTGATAGATCATACTTTTTATAAAGTATTCCACTTTTGATATTATTTTACACATAGAAATGTCAATAGTCAATTTAAAAATAATCTTTGTGAAAAAGCAAAAGCAGACACGCGAACGCCCAACTCAAGGCCGGGGCGCGACATTCATTATGAGAGAAATGGCAGTTTTCACACTAGAGAAGGATTATTCGTGTGAGACGGGTTATCCGTTTGATGATTCGCGTCAGATAGGTAATACGTGTTGATTTGAAAATGGAATAGTCAGTAATTTTGAATGAAAAATCCGCCTGACTTTTGACGACGGGATTATCCTTTCCAGATAGCCTGTGTACAGCCGCCCCCTCCCCTCAGAAAAAATCGGAGAAGGGGTGTCTGTGGGGAGGACGCAACTGTACACAGGCTAGTCTCAGACGGATGATCCATTTCTAGCTCTAGTGTGAAACTGAACGGCCAATAACAAAATTCCCGTGTCCAGTGTTTTTAATAATAGCGAAGGACTGTACGGAACGACTGTCTGCTGTTTCCTTGTCCGTAGACCGCATTATTCCGCGCGGCTAATGCGTTTCGGGTCACTTGGTCCGAGCAAGTTCGCCACCGAAATGCCTTGACCGAGATTGCGTGGGAAGACGCTGTACAGGGACTAGGCTTGACAATATCTACCGTAGCGTCAGAGAAAAACAGGGAAATGTTGTTTGTCAGCAACGTGTTTTACAAACAGTGACATCTGTGCTTGTTGTTTCACTAGTGTTTCGAGGGGAAGACCTCCGGAAAATTGCAAATATTAATCCCCAGCAAGAAGCCACACTTTCGCTATGGAAAAAAATAGTCCCCCGAGAGAGCGCCGGAAATGGGGCCTAGGTCTTGGTTAACTCCTAAAAGGCGCTTCGCCTAACGTGCGTACGGAGTCACACTAGCCGGGAAATAAAAAACGCAACCATAAGTGACTTTAGTACCTTTCTTAAAAGTAGCAAATCCAGGGAACACTTTCTTTTACGGTTAACTCTTTTTTACCCTATTTACGGCTAACGGTTAAAATTTTTCAATTTTTACGGCTATCGGCTAAATCTTTGGCCCTTTTACGCCTATCGGTTAACCCCATTGAGACCCTCTTATAATTGTTGGCAGGTAACACAGGAATAAAAGTTTCACAATCCGGGTTGTTACTTTAAAAGCTTTTTTATCTTTTAGAAAATTTTCTCTTATCTCTTGTGTTACCAGCTGGTGATTGGCAATTTGCTGTTTATGCCTGAGGGTTTCACGATATACTATAACATTACACCAAACTATGACGACGATGCAAAAACACTTAAATGCGTTAGTGATGGAGAGAAACAAGTTCAGGTATAAGGTATAGTACCATAAAATATGAATAATCAGTGAAAATGTCCNGGGGAGGACGCAACTGTACACAGGCTAGTCTCAGACGGATGATCCATTTCTAGCTCTAGTGTGAAACTGAACGGCCAATAACAAAATTCCCGTGTCCAGTGTTTTTAATAATAGCGAAGGACTGTACGGAACGACTGTCTGCTGTTTCCTTGTCCGTAGACCGCATTATTCCGCGCGGCTAATGCGTTTCGGGTCACTTGGTCCGAGCAAGTTCGCCACCGAAATGCCTTGACCGAGATTGCGTGGGAAGACGCTGTACAGGGACTAGGCTTGACAATATCTACCGTAGCGTCAGAGAAAAACAGGGAAATGTTGTTTGTCAGCAACGTGTTTTACAAACAGTGACATCTGTGCTTGTTGTTTCACTAGTGTTTCGAGGGGAAGACCTCCGGAAAATTGCAAATATTAATCCCCAGCAAGAAGCCACACTTTCGCTATGGAAAAAAATAGTCCCCCGAGAGAGCGCCGGAAATGGGGCCTAGGTCTTGGTTAACTCCTAAAAGGCGCTTCGCCTAACGTGCGTACGGAGTCACACTAGCCGGGAAATAAAAAACGCAACCATAAGTGACTTTAGTACCTTTCTTAAAAGTAGCAAATCCAGGGAACACTTTCTTTTACGGTTAACTCTTTTTTACCCTATTTACGGCTAACGGTTAAAATTTTTCAATTTTTACGGCTATCGGCTAAATCTTTGGCCCTTTTACGCCTATCGGTTAACCCCATTGAGACCCTCTTATAATTGTTGGCAGGTAACACAGGAATAAAAGTTTCACAATCCGGGTTGTTACTTTAAAAGCTTTTTTATCTTTTAGAAAATTTTCTCTTATCTCTTGTGTTACCAGCTGGTGATTGGCAATTTGCTGTTTATGCCTGAGGGTTTCACGATATACTATAACATTACACCAAACTATGACGACGATGCAAAAACACTTAAATGCGTTAGTGATGGAGAGAAACAAGTTCAGGTATAAGGTATAGTACCATAAAATATGAATAATCAGTGAAAATGTCCATACCATTGCAGAGGCGATCAGCAACTTAATCTCGGTAATAACGAAAGTATACGCAAAAGGGTGTTTTACGGCAATATACCGCTCTAAGCTTATCATAGCAACATGGGCTAGTGAGACATCAAGAAGACTGTCCATTAAGAGTCTTAAGAAAAAAAATGGGCATATTTCAGTCTTGTAGTTGATTAAGATCACTACTAACCAGGCGACTGTGGCTGGCTGAATTAAAATGCCAACTGTAAAATCTGTAGTAGCTAACAGAGCGATTATGATGTGTGACTTGTGAGCCCTCAGTCGTCGTTTAGTTTTCACGGCGAACATCACCAACGCGTTCAAGAAGGTGGTGAAGGGAAAAGTGAAGACGTTGATAATTATGTTGACAACGAAGACAACTTGAGCACCAAGGGAAGGGTTTTTCAGTTTTCCCCCCCAGAGGATGTAGACTAGACATTCATCTTGGATGGCTTCGCTTGAGTTGTTCATAGCTTCTTTCTTCTCTCGTGGTTTAGTCCCCCCGGTCAGTCGGCTGCTTTCCATAAACTCTTCTTTCGTGCTGCTTCGAGAAATTGCATTTGACTTCTCACTCTCTTATAGCCGATGATTATACAGTGATTTCAATGGATTTTCATTTTTAATACGTATAGATCAGAGCGATTTTTATTAATGCTTTTTAATTATAAGGCCAAGTGATCTGTGCGGCTAATTGCAGCGGGCTTTCTCCAAGGCTTAATCAAAACCGGTGACTTTAATTTGCGAAACGCAAGTGAGCTATGTTCGTCGGTTGTGGTAGGTGACTACGGAAAGTGTTGACACCAGTTGACTATTCAGTAATTATAAAAAAAAACTAGCCGAGTATATAAAGTTCCACAAGAAGAAAGTAATCGCTAATACACACGGTAAAAAAGTTCTCTGTGTAAGTCTCTCAAATCCAGAGATCACGTACGTAGTATTTCAATTTATTTCTCCAAGAAAGCATGCTTTCAAATAAAAGTATTATTTTCTTTGAATAGAATGCGGTTTTTCTTTGAGTTTAGTAGACAAATTCAAAACCAAAGTAATCTCAATCAAAAATTGCAATGGCTTTTCTCAGTGCTCTATGTTCAGGAGGAAACGTAAAAAAAAACTTGAAGCGAATGTTTTTGGCAATCAGTTAAGGCGGTCGAAATTGCAATTTGGTTTTCCCGATCAGCTGGTTGAAATGGGTGTTGTTTGCATGAACGTATGTAATGGTTTGACTTAACAACAACTGTCGATTTTACAAACGATCAAAATTAATACATTGTTCAATTATTATTATTGGTCTTCATAAATCAAGAGATTATGAGTTAATTTAAAAAACGGCACGTTTTTATACCAAAAATTTATTGTAGCCTTTTAATGATGTTTTTCATTTTAATTTTCACGGTAGAACTGAGTTACAATCAGCGATTTATATCACAATTATTTTACGTGCTAGGAGATATGTTTAGAGATTAATGAAATTTGCTGTTTACCAAATCATACTCAAGAAAAACTCTTGGCAGTGGGACGCTGCTAATAGCAAAACATGGTAAAACAACGTGTAATGATTCACTTCAAAAGCCTAAGAGGCCTTTTAGTCACTGATTTTTATCCATAATAAAACAAAAAGGAAAAGAAGTGTCTTCTAGACATAACAACACATAGCTGAGTTTACTGCGAAAGCAAAAGTAACGAGGGTCTCCCAGGTGGGGTTTTGGGGAAAAGGGAACATTGGCAAAATATCGAAGGGAACCGTGGAACATGAGCCTACTTTTAGGGAACAGGAAACAAAACTGTACAAATTAGAGGACGAAAAACATTTTGATATAAGAAATAAAGAGCGCTATTTAATTATTCTGAGATTTTATTTACGGTTATTTATGCACCACTGTCATTGGTTTTGTCTACTTTACACAAGAGATCATAATTCTTTTTGGATTTGTTTGTTTGTGTTTTACGTGCATTAAAGTTCAGAAAAGACAATCAGCTCAGTGACCACATAACAGTTCAATAACCACGCCAGTAGTTCAATGACCACACAAGTAGTTCTACATGCAGTTGGGAGGGAAATAGCCACAAATACCTGAGATTTTTTAATGTAAACGCGTAGCATTAACTAAGTGCGACATTTAGCGATGACACAAAAACCAAACTTAGAAATATAGCTATGGCACAATGCTATTTAGTTCTAGTGAGCTCACTAAAGAAAACAGGAACATCGACTGATGGCAATTTTAATTCAAAAGTCAAATAGTCTGCTCAGAAGGTCTGTCATCCTCATCAGGGGCACAGTCATTCTCGTCCCCAGAGCCACTCGGCTTAATTTGTAACGAACCAGTGGCTAGCCCTTGTTTCATTGAAAATATACCTAAAACCGGCAAAAGTGCTGCACATGTCTTACAACGTGAATTTTTCTTAAAAGCCTCGCTGACAGGGGCGTAGCCGGCCCGTGTCATCAAATTTTTGGTTTGATCACTCTACCACTTATGCATTTTGGGGGTGAGCTAAAAGTTAAGAGCTCATAGTGTTAGTGCAGGTCAGTGCGAACTATATCATGTACGCAATTTTCAGGATTTTTTATGTGGAATTGAACGTCAGCCAGGCCTACAACTAGTCGAAAAGCTGGCTAAGCCCCCGCATTTTTTCAGTAAAAAGAATATCTTGTTGTTTATGGTTCACAGCAGACTTCAAAGGTAGACATTCATGGTTTGCACTATGGTGAAGATATTTTCTTTCATCTCTCCCAGCTTCTCCCAATTCACCACTAAATTTACTTTTGAACAATATGCCTTTTCTTCTGCTTGTTGTTGAAACTCAACTGGCGAAAAAATAGCGCGGAAAGTTTTCATGTCGTCTCACAAAGCTTTCTTCATCTTTCAGATCGTTGAAACAGGCAGCCATTTTAGTTTCAAAGCATGTGCTTTCAGTTACATAAATTTCCATATATGGAAAGTAGAGCCCAGTAATTCCCTAACGAAGAGAGCTGCTTCGTTTCGCCGGATAGGAAGACGAATTACGAGGACGTTTTCGAGTTTCCTCAAAATAGAGAGTCTTTCACTGGAATGCAAAGTTTATCTTTTTATCATGGCGTTTTACCTTTTCAACTCAGGGATGTTAAGAATCTTCTAAGACAAGAGTTAAGTCGATTAAGTGCTCTGACATTATGTCCGAACATATTGCAATATTAGCTGATGATGTGATATTCGGTAAAGAAATATCAGTAAGTGTCAAATGTTTTTTCTAAAACACAAACTTTTTGGGTTTATGACCCTTCTTCAGTGTGAAAAAACCGTTGTACAGTACTACCAGAAACCCATAAGGGGTTTCTGGTACTACGCAATACCATAGAAAAAAAAAATGATCGAAGCGCGCGCAAGATTTATGTAATGTCGTAATTCAAGTAAAACTGAAATTGATATTTAGTCCTTTAGGCTGAACGTTGCCCCGTTGGAAAATCAACCGCATCTAACGCTACTTTCGTTAAATGTTAGTACCACCACATAACGCCACACCACGCACTTAGACAAAAAGAAATACTTTGGCCAGTGGAGTTGAAATGTTGGGCCACAGGAAACCCAGGAGTGTTGTTGCGTATACTTCGTAGATGTTCGCTGAAACGACTCCTGAGGTTTCGTCCAGTCTCACCAATGTAAAGAAATGAGCATCGGTCGCAGGGTATATAATAGACAAGATTCTCGGACTAACGAGTGAAATATTCAGGAGTAAGGACAAGGATTTAGTTCACCAAACCATCCTAGCTAACCGCTCCGGCACGATATTTGATTTAGAAATTCGATGTATGTGAACGACTTGTTCCAGTTATAATCCTCTGGACTGGTACACATCATTTTATCACGTTTCATCGCGGAATAAAGTGGGTTAGGTTCCTTTACTAGCCAGTGAATCACATTAGGAAAATTCATAAAAATCAGATGGTTTTCGTTCGTCGAACAGGCAATCATGAAAGAAATATACTACGGTTTCATCGGCTTACTTACTATATGTGACCCTCCACAGGAATTTGATGCTAAAGGTGAAAGCACGCGCACGACACGCTTCCACGACACGCTTAGCGTGCCGTAGATCACGGATATGCGTATATTAAATTGAAAAAACAAAGACGGACACACTTGCCTTTGTTTTGGCAAATTTAACACGCTAGACCTTTTGTTTTTTTGTAGCGTGCCATATGTCACGGTAAGTGTGCGAATTATAGCACGGTTAGCGTGCAATTTGGGTAAGACACGCTGAACACGCTTGATTACTAAAACCGCCAAGATGATAAAAATGGCTTGGGTTTTTAGCGGGTTTAATCAGCATTGATGACTGGTCGAAGTGAATCAAATATACCAATTGAGACTGTTTTGGAATTTGATAGTAACCGTGGCCATTTGAAAATCACGACTTAAAGGTGGTCTAGCCTGGAAAAACGCGAGATCAGTGTAAACCAATTCCTCCGGCTGTCGGCTTGACCGGAATCGCAAAGAGGCCTGCTATCGCATACGAGGCACTGAAGTTATGTCGCCTGAAAATTATAGTTATGCCACCGGAATATTTATTAGCAGTAATGCACAGAGAAATGAAGTTGAATAAATTAGTTTAATATATTTCTTTAAGCCATGCTGAGACGAACGAAGGTAATTAAATCGGAGAAACAAAAACTGCCTAGAATTTTCTATAGGTTGAGGAAGGCTAAACATTTCTAGATGACCGTTCCATGCATGTACAATTTTCGAAGGTTATCTAGTAAATTCCTTACGATTTTCTGAAGTTTAATTTTTTCCATTTCATTCCCCAGTTAAGCTATTTTTCGTAGAGAATTAAGGAATCCTAAAATTTTCGGATCCGAAAATACGATAAAATTCTCACTTTCCTGAAACTTTCAATTGGAAGCTAAATTTTTCGGGAAAATAATGAGGAAGCCCTTGTAATTTCGAAAAGACTGAAGTTGTCCTAGGATGCTAGGATGCATTTAGGAGGAAATCGCCGTCACGTGCCCCTGACGAACGAAGCGCTATCAATCATAATTTATGTGAAGATATCTCGTTACGCTATGCTAAGACGAATCAAGCGCTGTAAACGTGTACTATATCTCGTTCTTCACAGGACGAAAAAAAACAAGAATCTGTAAACTAAAAACACTGTAGAATGAGGGAGGATTGCGGCGACTTTTCTTGAATTTTGGGCGACAAAACTCATATTATCAGGTTTTGGACGACATAACTTCAAACGACATCACTTTCGAGTAGCTTGACCGTCACCCCTTTAGATCGAGCTAAAGTTCTTTCCATTTCTGGAAAGAACTTTGATTTTGCAATGCTAATATAGTTCTACCCATAAATGCAGTAGATCACACCGTTCATTGTTTATACTTTTCAAGCGGCAACGTTTTTTCAATCAGATACTATCGCTGCGATCGCTGAGGTATAACTTTTTCTTTCTTATAGTTACCAAAAAAGGGTGCCGTTGATAATCATTTGCGGTTCCTTTTTGTAGAGGAAATTTATTTAGCTTATAGATAACACGCCTTGCGTGCTTTTGCGCACACTGAAAGCGTGTTGTGCTTTTTCGCACGGAGCTTTTGTTTGAAAACTTTAACACGCTCTTTTGTTCGACTTGCTCACGGTTAATTGTCTCAAGCGTGTCCTCTGAAACAAAAGAAATTGCTAATGAGGCAAGATTGCAAGCGTGCTAAAGCGTGTTAAAATAAATTCTTTTGTTTTAAAGTGAAAGCGTGTCGTGCGCGTGCTTTCACCTTTAGCATTAAAATCCTGTGGAGGGTCACATATTATCAAAGTTTCATGAGACTAGCCGGCCAAAGAGCTTACAAAGATTAAAAAAAGAAAAGATAATACGGAAAAAAGGACAAAGAAAATATGACACACAATTCGCATGTGTATTTAACCAAACAAAAATTGAACAGTTCCCTGGATAAAGATCTCTTGCATATGTTTATTAAATGCACGTTCAGATAATATTCACAATACAGATTTATTCCATATTCACTTACGGTAAGTTTAATTTCGCCAATAATGTATTTTTAGAAGTGCGCTGTCGTTGGAGATAGTAAAGAAGTTTGCTAATTTGCACCAAACAGGCCGCTTCGTGGTCAAAAATTAGAACTGTCCTTTCTATCCACAATAAGAAGGAATCTTTCCGGTGTTTATACTCACCCTGAGCTTCAAAATGATATGTGGAGTTGTTTCTTTATATTTGTCGAAAATTAACTGAAACTCAGGGTAATACGTGCAATCGACATTATACCTGGCCAGTCGACTGATATAAACCCGTCTTATTATTCATTCAAAATATTTCCCCGATTCTGATTGGCTAAAAGCATACGCATAGTTAATTCACCATAACCAGCTAGTGATGACCAAATCTGGAAGAATTTTGCGTTTAATGAACCAATGACGTCAAAAGTGCAGCTGTCTTGCAGGTTAATGCACCTTTAACCGAGAAAACCTGGGGACGAGGTTGAGTTGTTTTGGTTGTGAAAAGAAAAGTCAGACATTTCACTCGTTTCAAGAGTAAAAACTGGGCGAAATAATAGCTAAAAACATGGCAAGAACAGCAAGAAGACAACTCGAAGGGCGACATCTGCTATTTGCAGAATATTTTCGGAGCTAAACAACCCTAAACGTGCACTATCGAAGATGAACTTAACTTCGATGGATCGATGGAGGTAAGCATGTGTTAGCCAAGTTCTTAAACTAGGAATTATTTTGAGTGAATAATAAAACAATTATTGAATTTGGCTTTCGTATCATATGAAGAATTATCAAGATCTCGGAGAGTGTTAACTCCCTCCTCGATCTCCATAATTCTTCATAAGATACTCAGCCTCATTCATTAATTGTTAATTATCAAAAGAAAGTACGAATATAATTGAAACATCGCTTTCAATTGATTTCGATTGTCATAGCAACCGCATAACGGCCACCAAAAGCACTATATTACAGTTTTCTTTGCGAAAAGCCTTTTTCTATATGGGGACTGGACTCACAATAAAGCATTGTCGGTTTTGCGCACGCGTAGTATGTTTTGCTCTGTGTGCCTATGGAGCATCATGGGTATAAAAAGGCGGCAAGATGCGGAAAGGTTTTTGGTCAGCGGTAAAATTTGCATTAATTTTTTTGGCTAAGGGCTTGCAACTGGTTCACAGGTAAGCAGCGAAATTTGTCAAAGGCTAAGCTGCAGAAGTAGAACTAGATTTTACAGCTGGATTACCACTCAAAACAATTTTAGGGATGAACTGGCATTCTGTATCTACTCAGTGAAAGCAGTATTCGTATATGCCATTGCACCCTGTGTCCAGTCTTAACCTCTTTAAAATTAAGCTTCTCAAATAAAAATTACATAAAATATCCCAGATTACTTAAGATCTAAAATTTCCATGCCACTGAAATGAGATTTTTATGCCTAGCACGAGAGTTGTCTAGTTTCATATCGAGATTACCCAGCAAGCAAGAGCTACCTTTCTGCGATGTATGTACCGACAAAATGTAGCCATTGCTAACAGGTTGTCAGTCGCCACGAGAATGGAACTAGGGTCGAAAGGTTCCCCGTCATTGTTTCTGGAATCGTTAATCATGACCTGCGGCGTCAGCTATTGGCCAATATTTTCCCATAGGTTAACTCAGCCCCAGTCTCCTTTTCGTTTCCAAAGTGTCGAATATGGNAAAATGTAGCCATTGCTAACAGGTTGTCAGTCGCCACGAGAATGGAACTAGGGTCGAAAGGTTCCCCGTCATTGTTTCTGGAATCGTTAATCATGACCTGCGGCGTCAGCTATTGGCCAATATTTTCCCATAGATAACTCAGCCCCAGTCTCCTTTTCGTTTCCAAAGTGTCGAATATGGAAACTTTTATAATAATGATGGTATCCAAATCTTGCTGTTTTAACAAAGACCAATAAACTGTCATAAAAAAACAGCAAAGATCAAAGCGACTTGACCGTTCAAAGTATCGGGAATACTCAAGTCGCTTTGTTCTTTCCCGTTTTGTTATTGCAGCCATGTATAATGTTACAGCTTATTGGCGAATATGGCTTCTGTCATGCACAATAATTTTATACAGTGTTGAATAAGCAATTCTTCTTTCTACATGGGGATTTCCCTTTAGTCCATTTATATTGTCGGACTGTGTCCAGTAAACATTATATACAAATCGCACATCAGAAGCTATTTCATTCAAAGGAAAAACATCGCAATAAATGTTAAGAAGCTGACACCCAATGCGCCCCAGCCTATTTTGACCACGTGACCAGCATTCCAGAAAGAAAATGAAGTAGTACCGTCATGATGAGCCACTGAGTTACATCCACTCCATTGACAACATGTAAAACAGTGCTTCTTGTGAGCTAAAGAGTTAGAAACAGTAGGGTAAGTCTAGATAAGAACGCGCGTACTATTGTAGCCATATAATGATAAATAATAATCATTATTGTTAGTGCGCTGGGTTGAGACTTATTTTAACAAGGGGGTGGACCAGAATTTAGGAAAGATCATTGGATTCATTGACATCAATTAGCTGCTTAACATATTGGGAACGGTGCACATTAACCAAAAAAGAAGATTTCTCTCCATCCAGTAAAACAAAATACCCCTTTAACACCTCAGGACCAGGGAATGTTCCCAGTTCTTAGAGAGTACAAGAAGCAATTTATACTGCTAGGAATAATAATCATTATCTTAATCATAATAATAAATGTTCTTTAGCCAGGGCCACTTTCTCAGAATGACGTGCCATTTTTACTAGTGAGGATCTTGGAGAAGATTAGTGATTGCTGTAGGTGCCTAGGAAGATATACTTTATATTGTTCCAGGCTGGTTGTGGATCACGGGCAGGGCCGGAATTTTCCAAGTGCTCATTACTATGTAGCAGATTTAGGATGCGTGTTACATGTGTCTGAGCCTTAAGAAAACGACCCATCATGCATTTCAGGATGACACTCTCCGAGGCTAGTACCCTGTAGTCAGAACACCCTCCCCGGCAGAATTGTGGGATATCACTGAGGAATCGAACCATTTCCAAGTTGTCTCAATCCTCTGTTTAGAACGAGATTATAGTAAATGCATACATAGCCCTCAACAGGAAAATCCTCGTTTCTTCTACTGCCAATTCAACTCATGTCCACAAAAAAGGTCTTGTAATTGGCCTTACTTTGAAAGTCTGGGCTCAAACGGAGCAATCTGAAGTGATAGCCTGAATTTGAGACGATGACTTCGAGTCGTTTTTACTCTACTGAGGGAGTAAAAGCGACTCGAAGTAATCTTCTGAAATTCAGGCTATCTGAAGTGGGTGACCTAGATTTAAATTTAACATCAAATGTTATTTACGTATAGTAAACAGCGAGGTAAGTTTTTAGGGAGGAAACGATTAGTAACAAAAAAAGTTGAGTTAAACCGAAAAAAATTAAATTAGGGATACAGGTTTGCATAACTATAGGAAAGCATGATTCTAAAAAACCGACCCCGCCAGGATTCGAACCTGGAATCCCCTGATTCGTAGTCAGATGCCTTATCCGTTGGGCCACGGGGCCTTGTACAGCGAGAACTTTTTCTTTATTCGCGAAAATCTTCAAATTCAAAAAAGTGAACAACAACACCAACATTAACCAGGATTTCACCCATAAAAGCTAAAGCTTGTCATGTGTAACTGCTTTACATGTGTTTTTTAGGTTTTCTCCTGTGCATTGACCACGTTCTCCACGAAAATGGGAAGATAACAGACCAACAACAAAGTATGTAAAGAGGCCATGCTCCATTAAAAAAACACACACACCATGCCCCTAAATCCCCTTTGATTTTCCCCATCTCCTGAGGAAAAACTCAGAAAAGTCTAGCATTGAAAAGCTCGTTTCAGTGGACAGACAGGGTAACCGCAAGAGGCCTTTATTTGACTTTTCCCGTGCTTGTACAGTCCTTTTTGGCAATGTCTCCAGGCCTTTTTAAGTCTGGAATCGGACAGTCGAAATATCGTTAGCTATCGTAACTACAGTTGATTCACGTTGTTTGGATAGTCACCAGAAATTGCCACATATTGGCGACAATCATTTATACAATGAAACTGCTTTCTTGTTTCAGTGGAACAACAGGATAACCGAAAGAGGCCCTTATCTGACTTTATCTTTGTTTTTTTTTCTGTTTCTGTTTTTGCTTTTTATTCTTTTTGACAAAGACCAGACTTTCCAAAACTTGAACCGCATAGTCGAAATATCGTTAGCTATTATTGTGACTACAGTCGATTCTTAATTTATCTTATAAATCCAGTGGCGAAGCGATATTCTTGTATTCACTCCTCAGTCTGCAAATTAAAACACCACGTAAAGTTCATTCAAAAACTAAATAACCCGCTTACCTTTGCAAGGTTTGGCTCGAGCCCTTTGACACTGCTTATGGTTAGCACATCCCATGTTATAGTGAACTATGTTATCTCTCTTTATGCTCTTGGTGAAGCAGATGTTGGATAATCCACTGTCGCATCTTTTCAGCGTGCGTTTATGAGTACATTCCTCGTAGGTGGAGTTCTTAGGGCAGTGATGGCACATGGGATACATTTCGTGGGCTGGATGGTTGACGCTACCATGTTGGTACGTCAAGTCCACGTCATCTTCAGGAGGCGCGTCCTTGGAATCGGTCAGGTTCCCTTCGACTGCTTGGATAATAACAGCAGAAGTGGTAAGTCAAAGGGAACACAAATTCAGTACAATGTTCCAATGGACCCTAGGGAGGTACCCCTCTATAATGGCCTATACGGGAGACTACCCCCAGGAGGAGGTACCTTTTTCAGAGTTCAGGTATAAGGGTAAGAATTTCACTAGTTGAAGGATCAACCTCGTTCTCAGGTAAGAGAGAACCCTGGGAACGAGATTGGTTGAAAGATAGATATAAAAGGGTAGGGAAATCTGTCATTGTGGTCCGTGAAAGGACGTATTATACGACTTTGAAAAAGTCAACAAACTTCCAAGACAACGAATTTACAGTAGTTAAAAGGGATGCAGTGTTTTAAACTAGACGTGTGAAAGGGGTACCATTTGCCAATAGAAGGTATACGGAAAGGAATACATTTTCTGCCAAAAATGGTTTATAAAAGAGTAAGGGGTTGGATCTGGGGTGGACATTCCTCGTATAAAACTTTGTTGAATGTCTCACCCCCTTCCCCTGCCGAGCAATGGACAAAGAAGAACGCCACAATATCATTACCTCCGACAGATTGGATAATGCAAAATATAATAAGTGTTACGAATATGCAACGATCAAGAAAAACTACAGGCCACTAAAAATGGCTGAAAACACATGATTAAGAAATGTTGGGCCCCAGCTGCCGACATACAAAACCGCGGTTTTATGGCTAAGAACCACTACCACTCTACAGGTAACGCTGCGCATCAAAATCGAGTGAAAAACGCCAACGCTATGGCCAGCTGCGGAGACCGACTGACATTTAACAATGATTGAAAAAGTTAAAGGATCGTAGCAGCGACAAAAACTATAATTATGATCATTGCTGACAGAATACTGCCACTCCTCCAAAGCAGCTCGGCAAACCACGCAAAATATGACAGACACTATAGCGCTTTAGTTAACTAATATGCATGGCTAACAACCTGGCATATTTTTCAAAAATCCAACTGAAAATTCTCTTCACACTTACTTTGGGATTCATTATATAAAGTTTTCGGCTGGTCTTTTCAAAACAAATCATCCACGGCCGAGCTAGTAAATAGCCAGCATCCTGACAATTTAGGCGCCGTCCAAACGTAGCCGTTTATGTTTGAAAACAGAGATTTCTTTCTCCAGTTTGGCTTAACATCCACACGTATCTGATAAAAACGTCAACAAAAACAAACTTTTTTTTTTCAAAAACGCTCTCCATTCTGAAGAGCGTCTTTCGTTCACGTGGACGGACGAAAAGGAAAGTCTTCGAAAACGATGAGTGTCACACATCATACCGCGGCCAATGCCGAGGCCAATGCCAATGTTTTGTGTGGACGGGCAAAAACGATTCGAATACGCTACGTGTGGACGCATATTTTTCGAAAATGGAGAAGAAACTCCTTTTCAAAAATATCCAGAAACGTGTGGACAAGCCTCAAGTTTACACTTTAAAGGTACAACGACTATCTTGCCTGCCCTATTTACATGGAAGTTCAAATGGGCATTTTAGGGAAGATTTTGTACCAATAGCTAACACATATCAGGAGTAGAATACATAATATAATACGGGAAAAGGAACTACAAGTTTCAGTGAAGAAAAGATCTTTACCACAGATCTTCCAATCTAAGGTTTAGCGCATTTGAGTATCACAACCCTAAAACAGCTTCCCCTGTTTTAAGAAACACCAGGGATAGTTACCTTTAGTGCTATTTAGCTTTTTCTTATCTTGTTGGGTGATGTGGCTAGTCTTGTTTCCTTTACTTTCTGACGACTCAACAGTCTGCTTATGGGGAAACAGGAAGAAGGAAATGGTATAGGGGTGAGGCTCTTCCTCCGTGACGTCATTTCCGGTTGTCCGTTCTGCTTGCTGTGCGTCAATGACTTGTGAAATGAAATAACAAGATGTTACGTCGCCTAATGTAGTCTGTTTTGTACTACTGTTGTCATGCTAAACGTGAAATGCGTGCCTGCAATTCAGGCGTTTCTTAACGATCGTCAGTCACAGAAAGCATAGCGTCTTTGGATCAGTCTCAGAGGAAAATACAGTTTGAATGTCAATTCCTTCCCCCTGTTTCAACGTTTTGTCTTGCGTCAAGAAACCCCTAGATTGCAGACAGCTAGCAAACCCACTCTATCACGGCATTACTTACATACTTAGAAAGTAAGCGAACTGATACTTGGATGTTTAAATTGGGAATGAGGCTCTTATAATTGGTAGATCTGAGAAGAAAAAACTTTCCGGCTTTCTAGTCTCAATCGATGCAATCACACCAGACATTCTTAAGTTTAACAAGGTCAAGATTACTACCAAGAACATCTTAATTCTACACCTAGCAGGAACAGTTCCAAGATCTTTTTTTATTAGAGGGTTTTAAAGTTATACACATCTCATCTCCTGCTGTGGTAAAGCTATTCGACAGGCGAAAAGGCAGGGAGGCCAATAACAGAACCCTGAGGAACAGGGCGATGAGACATTGCCCGATCGAGAACTACCTGTTGTGTCCTATTTGACAAATCACTTTTATTCAAGTTCAAGAAGTTTAATTTTAATTTGACTGTTATTAGATCCGTTACTGTGTGGCGTTGACTATTTCACTTCTGCTGAGATTGTAATGGAGCGCGTGATTGGATGTTCGGTTCCACTTTCAGACAGAAGAGATATTCACACGCTAATTACATTTTTTTTGTTTCTAACACCATTTTTGATTTCAAGATAAAAACAAATCACATTTAAAGCAAGCTCTTCTGTATGTTAGTCTCCTCAGTTTCAGATTCAGGTAATGACTTTGTTCTTAGTTTCCACTGTATCATTATGTCGCTTCCTTTACAATAGCCTACCATTTTTTCCATAATGCTTGGGAGAGAATATAAAACAAGGAGGGGTTCGTTTAATCTGAAGCAGATAGGAGGACTGGAAGAAATGCTATAATTAAAAACTGTTTAAAAAACAAACAAACAAACAAATCCTGTTTGTGAACTTAGATGTAAGGAAGACAAACGAAGCTTACCAATATAAAAAACAAGAAAACTGCTGAGGCAACTGTTGCCTTGTAAAATTCAGCTACTCGAAAATGTCTCACACTCTTACAACCTGTAGCCCGATCTATTGAACTAAATATGAAAACACATAATTGATTGAATTTTGGACTGCAAATATAAACAGTCGTATGAAGGCGAAATTGCTGGTTGCCGCGACCTGGGGTGAACGTCAGTTTTATCACACTGAGCTACGAGTCCCGCGACTGGTCAGCTTTGCAAGGGTTTGCTACTTTTGCTATACCTTTCCACTGGGAAAAAATGGGATTCGCAAAAATGTCTTTTTAATTAAAGTTATTTTAAAGATTTGGAGTTAATAAAGCGTGGCTAACTTAATTTCAAGTAGGATATCTTAAATTTGATAATTACGTCATGTGGCGAGTATTTTTGCAACTATCACAGCTCGTTTGAAGATATAATTTACGACATGGGATATCAAGTTAACGGATTACATATAGACAATGCTCTTGATGAAATGGCTAGCGTCAAAATAAAATAACCGTTTGTAGTCATATCTTATCGAAAAGCGCAAGTCAGGATATCCGTACGGGAAAATGACAACTGTGTATTTCCTTCCGCGACATTGCATCACTTACAACCAGGGTAAATTGTATGGGGTTTCTAACCCATGAAAAAATGAATATAACATAAGGAATTCGTCAAAGTAACCCAAAAAACTTGGTACTCACCTAATGCGAGGCAAAGAAGCGACCAGGCGAGAAACAGACGGCTCATAGCAGCCTATTTAGAACCTAAAATG